GTTTAATAGTTCAACAACCAGCATCCAGAGTATACATAGATCAGTTTTAATAAATCAACAACTCTATTATGCATTTAAATAAGTTTTATAATCATGTTATAGTCCAAACAATTGCTAAATTAATTTAAGCAATTTAGTTCTTTCCATCCGTTAATATGATTCTCCAATAAGATTAAAATACGGAGAATATGTATAATCCATTCTGTAATCCACTATGAGCATAATAATAACATTATCAGAATTAACATGCTCACTTTAAACTATTCCAAGATATTCAGTAAGTTTATATAACACACTACTGCATATTTAGCAACTAGGTTCCCATTAAGCATAACTGAGCAATTAAGTTCCAGTAATTGATCATTCATGTCATACATATAAATATCAATTTAACTCCACGATAACACAACAGAATATACCAATTCACATGCTTACTTTTATACCAAACCAACATTAACTGAAACAAGTTAAATTCTATACGTCAATTAATCCGCAGCTAGCAGTAGTTAAAGTTTAAGCATACTTGTTCCTACCACTGTTCCATGATTAACATGGTGTAACCATCCATAGTAATCTGCTAAATTAGTTTTTAAGCAATTAAACCCTTCATCTCCAATGACAGTATCCGGATTTTCATATACCGACTTATGTTCTGTATCACCCTGAACAATGGTATTTTAATACACAGTAATCAACTCTTAGAAGTTATAATATGAAGTTAGATCATCTCAAAACACCTCAATACAGCTCCTACCAGAACTTAAAAATCCCAAAATCCGAGCACCACAGCCCAAACAGTCGCCCAAAAACCCAAAAAATTGAAGAATTGAAGAGAGGCTGCTCCAACCAAGATGGAGCAGGCTCCAAACCACTTGGAGCTGCCTCCAAGGCACTTTGAGCTGGCTCCATGTTTTCTTGGAGCCGCCTCCAACCTCCTCCCCTCCTCTCTGCTTCTTCTCTTCAACTACGTCTTCTCCGGTGACGTCTAGTTTGATCAGTCCTCAGCTCTAATGATTTTACTAAACAAAACTAAGTTCCAATGTCCCAGATACTGTAAAAACCATTAATCCTAGATCCACTCTAATTAGAACAAAGTTTTACAAGAAATAATTCAAATAAACAAAAAACGAAACATATAAACATATACCGTTACAAACGAACCTAAACATGCAAACCAGATTAATACCTTCCAGTGTTACAAGCTGATTTAACTCTGTTTATATCAATTCACATGCATTATACATCCAGTTCTGTGAATTAGTTTATGAGTTAAACACGAAAGATCATAAAACAAGCAGTATAACTCATGGTTACGTTCAGTTTTAAGACAACAGAGACATGCAAACCAGTTTACTTTTAATCTTTATACTTTCCTGGAGTTGTGTTAGAATGCGAAGAACACAAGCCTAAGGAATAGAGTTAGGATTAGAACTTGCTTGTGAGTTTTTAGTTCAAAACCTCAACGTCGTTTTCCTAAGTTTCTCCGGCGAACTAGGAAATCCTCCTTTGTTCCTTCCCTACCTCCACTGCCGTGAATAGGGTTCTAAAACCCTAGGCAGAACTTAATACCTATATTTATAGATTTACACAAGACCTAGGTTCAATTCAAACCCTACACTAAATCCTAGTCAACCCATAGAAACCCTATTTAAAATCTACGTTGGCCAACATACGTGACTTCTCAAAGAACCCTAAGTACTGAACGTATTTTAAAAACTCATTTAACTTAATTACCTAATTAAACAATTCCTTACAACAGTGAGATCAAAATAAAACAAATAAACAAGTAAGCCAATTAAATACAAATTAAACATATAATTAAATTAAACCAACCAGTCAATTCACACATCACGTAATTCAAATTTCACACATAGCCACATAAGCACTTACAAATAATAAAATAAATACTGAAAAAATAAAATAATTAATAAAATTCTGATTATATCCCTTTCAAAACTAGGGGTATTACATCGGCTATATTTTTAAGCCATGGCCCATTGTAGTATGTCCAAATAGGTAAGTTACGTTTGCATGCATGATCATTTTCAAGAAAAACCTCATCCTTGGTGATTTGGGCCTCTTATGGACTCATTTCGCATTTTTATTGGATAATCTAATCTAGGGGCATTCTAGACTTTCACAGCAGTTTTATTTTCTTCTTTTAATATGGTTGAATAGAAAACGTGATTTTAGGGGGGGTTTCTTTTTCGTATTTTTCCAGAAAATGTCATCTTGGTGCCAGAAATCCATCGCAAACCGGTTAGATGGAGTCTTGTAACCGGCTAGATGAGTGTGGGCAATGTTATGGTCTTCATTTTTAGCCTTCTAATTTTGACCGTTTTACCCCTGTTTCTTCCTTTAGCCATATCTTTTTTATCCAGATTCCGAATCAAGTGATTCTTGAGTCTAAAGTTATTAATTTTTCATTATTTTTCCAATGGTGTGCTCGGTAGTACCTAATTTTACCTTGGAAATGATTATTTTGCCCCTAGGTTCCTTTGTGTCCGTTTTTGAAGTGTCATTTTTGCAATTGTGTTCCTTTGGGTTCCGTGACCTCATTGAGGGTCACATTAGTGTCTTAGAGACGCATTGTATCTCTAGAGACCATTGTTTCACCTTTAGCTTCCACATTTCGGATCTGTTATCGGGTCGTTTTTTGGTCATCACTGACGCACCGGGTTTACAAAACTTGGGCCGTCACACAACACGTAAAATTTTTATGTGTGCAAAAGGCCAAGAGAGAGAAACCAGTTTCCGCCTTTGCCTGTTGATCAGAGTTGCAGATTGGTTCGTGGTTAAAAGATCTAGACGTTAGATTTAATTTCAACAAAGTTTGATATCATAAATTGAGGTATGTATATTTAACTATATTTATTTATACGTTATAAGGATGTGAAATTAATTGAAGTTCTAAAATCTAGAAATTTATGATAATTTGTGATTAATGTTTAATACAAATTAATTAGAGTTTACAATATGAGCATATGCCTATAAAATAAAAAATGCAAATAAATCTAAATCACAGGGCAAACCGATAATAATCTTACTCCAACTTGATAAATCAACTTTCAACCGGAGAGAATTCCAAAATAATACTACTATTTACCCTTACTACAATAAACCCTTTCCAAATACCCATTGGAAGAAACGATCCTCCGTGAGAATTTAAAACATAATAGTAGTAAAAAAGTACCTTCGCAAACACATGTAGCTGAGCCGAACTCTCCTCTGTCATTACACTATTCATTGCAAAGCCTAATACCATGATCAATGGAAGATAACACTAAACACCAGACCGTCCACGCAAACAAACTCCTACTCTAAGGTAGAGTGACAGATACTCGAGCCTTACACTGTATACCACTCTATGATACTTCCCGGCCATTAGCGTTCTGTACCAAATCCGTAAACTCTGGCTACCCATCAAATCTCTCATGAGGCCAACTGATGCGTCAACCACGTATGCCATACCGCACACATACGCCTACAACATGCATACGCCAACCACACTCATCCTGATACTTTGATGCGCCAATACCTTGATCGATTTGCTAACAAGGCGCATGCCATCTTCTGAAAATATAACCACATTTATAGCCAAACACGATAAATCTCTAAGAGACCACCCAAAATAGACTATCCAAAATTACTTAATTACCGTCTTATGGCACACCCAATACAATTTGTTCCCTTCTATTGCGTTCCACCCACCCTAAACCAATCCCAATTTTAACACCTGGAGAGTATCAAATTGCACTAGCGGTGAACATTGCTACCCACACGAACAACTAATTTTTGTAGATACACGCACTCATGTAGAAATATATAAATTAGATAATTCATCTCTTTCTCATATTAACCATATATATAATAGTATACTCATAACGGCCTATTGGTCAAGTAAATATAGGATTTAACACACTAATAAAATAGATAATAATTTTATCAAGTGTCAACAATGCCACAATGTGCCGCGCGCCGCTGGTCTAGGCACCCAGCATAGAACTCACCCATGAGCATGCTTAAGTAATATCCCTAGCTATTGGTTAGACCCTAAACATTCTCTCCATGTCATGGTCTAGGCCAGAGGTCGTCTGGCCAAGCCCTTGGCAGCCAACGTGGGGCACAAGTGGGTTGTCAAGTGTCAACAATGCGACAATGTGCCGCGCGCCGCTGGTATTTTCATAAATGTATAACTCGAAAACCAAAGCCCAAGAGCTCCATGGAGGAATGACTTGGGAAAATTACTGGAGTCTTATCAAGTCATTAGAAGCCCTATGCAACATTGGTTTGATTTTTTGATGTCCACGTAATTAATTACACGCATTATGACTCCCCACGCAGGGGTAATTTCTCCTCCCAAACTTCTAGTTTTGCATATACAAGCGAAGTAGGGTCACATGCACCCCCTCCCCGTCACCCAAGCACACTTGGCTAGGCTGTGGAACGCCTAGCACAAGGCATGCATTGGGTGCACCACCCAAAGGTGGTCGCACCCAGTGGCGCTCCGGCAAAACCCCATGGGCAGGCTACATATACATCTATGAGCTTGATATCAACACCAGCTCAAGCCTTGAAAACGAAGAATAAAAAACACTTCAAACAATGTCGTTCTTCATTAATGATTCAACAAGTTAAAAGAATAATCAATCAAAATAATTTCTCTTTAGGAAGACTTAAAAAAAAGTCTTGGAACCAATCACAAAGAAGTTCATGGGGCAAATAAAAAGAAATTGTCACACAAAGACTAAGAAGTACCACATGAGCCAACTACAAAAAAGTTATGAAGATCAATCAGAAAGATGATGTACAAAACAGTTTTAAGCACCTTCTAACTTGATCATGAAGTGAAGTGCACATGAATATGTATTGACAAAACTAAATGCAAAATGATATGTCTGACTAATGTCACTAATCCAACCCTTTCTTGTGAAGAGTCTTTGATATAAAAATTGACGTCATAATGATACACGACTTCAATATTGAATTAGAGAGAGAAAAAAAAAAAAAAAAGTCTCATTCCTCAAATATCACAAATCCTTACATTTCAAGCCTTGAGCTCATTATTTATTCAAGCAGCCAGCTCATTTACGGCTCAAGACCACAACATCCATAGAAATAGTACAAGGACTATAATCTAATTTAACATGCAATAAACAGTACCACTGCAATACATAGATGCCAGAACATGGGGCTCAACTAATTCCCAACCTCAACAGGCTCGAAACCGCGCTCAATCGATGACTTGACAGCATCCAAAACCAGTTGTGTCTTCCTACTGAGGGTTGGCCATTTCTTCTCAGGTTTCGAACCATTTCTCATGATACTTCCAACCAGACTAGCAAATTCCTTCACCATTAGAGCTTCCTGAGGAAGATCTGTGGTAACACAGTGCTCACTCGGTTTTGGTTCACACCCAATAGAGAGTTCCTGAAACCTAGAATTTGAAGCTGCATAAAAGGGCGCGATGTCCTCTTGAAAAGGAATGACAAAGTCATGGACACGCAAATTTCCGTCAGTTCCAAGAGCATTTATATCCATCGTCAAGTTTGTTAGGAAAGAGCAATAGAAGGTAGCAACTTTCCCATCTACCCAACTCAAAGAAGAGCCACATGACATAATCACTCCTGCTTTGTTATATTCAGGGTCACGCAGGGCTGTTACCGTTTTAGGCAATTCATAGCCAACAGACCAAAGGATTGCCCTGACGCAGTACCAACCAGTGTCACCGAGAGCTCCAAGAGCATCCAAATCCGGCTTCACACGAATGTCATTCTTAAGAAAGTCAGGACCAGGATTATAGGTAAAGGAGCTAGTAACCTGTAGGAGTAAGACATAATAGTCTTAATTCAGCAAATTAAAACCAACAAGAAAAGGCAAGCTTTGCTTAAAAGCTAATTAAAAAAAGAAACAATGCTACCTTGTAAAATAACAATGTAGATAACGTATACATGTTTTCGACTCAAATCTTCCGATTTCTCAAGCAAATTCATCAGTTTAGGCACAATGACAGTAGTAGCAGGGGCTTCCCTTTCTCTTCTCATGGCCACCAAACCATAATTCTGTTAGGCAAGTCCCGTAAGACTTGGGCTTACTATGTAATTAAACACAGTGATTTCAATAGAGTTTTAGGAAAAAGCTTATACATCTAAGCTTGAGAGAGTCAACCTGAATCCAACCCACTTTTGGATGGCATTTTCGAAAGCTCATAATAGGTAAGGGATGGAAAATTCGAATCCCATTTAAATTTTAGTAAGGCTCTATCTATGAGGTCCACATAGTACAACACCTATGTTGTGCTGCATCAGACGGCTCACAACATAACCCTGTAACGCACACACGTGTGCACGTTGTGAACCGTCCAATGCAGTACAACACCCATGTTGTACTGCACCCGACCTCAACACCTAGTTATGACATAGACATCTAGTTAATCCATATAATTATATACATAACATTAATCCTGAAACATATATCTACATGTGTGTGTGTGTGTGTATATATATATAGTCCTACATCAGATCATCTTGATTTCGTTAAAGTCTACAATACCCCATGAGTATCGTATCGCGAGGTTCCCAACCGTTGGATGTGGTGATGAGACTCACCAAATGGATGATCCAACAGTTGAGAGGCTTTGGCGTACAGTACCCAGTGGTATTGTAAACTTTCTCATTAATTTCATTTTTACTTTTGTTTCACGAAAACTTAAATAGAATACCCAACATATTCACACATATATATATATTTGAGTTAAAATCATAAAACATCAATTACTTTCAAATTTTGATCATAAAATCTTAACATTTTTCAAAATACCTCTATACTTAAAAAAATAAATAAAAAAATAAAAAATAAAGTGATCATATTGCTATAATATTAGTGCCTCACCAGTTAACCTGACCTTACTATTTAATATTTAATTAAAAAAAACTATAAATTATTTTTAAAAATTACAAAAATACCCTTTACTTGTCTTCTTCTTCAATCTCTCACTGTGTTAAACTCTCAGCTCTCTCTCTCTCTCTCTCAAACTCATCAATCTCTGATCTTGTCCTGCATAAAGCATACACCCTAATACTATAGGAGCATAACATCTTACTATTATTCTTTTATCCCATCTTTGACTGTGTTGTGCTTTTTAGCCTAATACCATAGGAGCATAACAACTTACGTCTTTCAAAAAATTCTTTTCTATTTTCGAAATAAAAATATATTTTTTTTAAACAAATAATGAGAGAGCTTTATTAAAATGAGCAATATTGACACAAGCCCCACACCCTATCTATGGTGGGCCCCATAGCCTGTCCTGTGAAACACCACACAGATATGTGTGGAGGCTTGTGAATTTCCCTATCAAAAGACATTTTTATTTTTTCTCCGTACTCAATTATTTTACGATTTTGAGTACATCAGTCCAGCTGTAACGCTCTTTCAAAAATGATTTTTTATTTTTATTTTTTTTGAGATCGCGGCCAAGCATCATTACCCATTCAGTTTATTATGCACATATATATATATATATATATATATATTAAAAAATATAACTAAAAAATTATCAAATGCCATACTTGTACCGATCAATCATGTTCCATCATGCAATAAATAAAAAAATAATAATAAATCTTATGAACAGATAATGATTTAGAATTTAAAAATTCAACAATATATATATATTAAAAAATATAACTAAAAAATTATCAAATGCCATACTTGTACCGATCAATCATGTTCCATCATGCAATAAATAAAAAAAAAATAATAAATCTTATGAACAGATAATGATTTAGAATTTAAAAATTCAACAATTTTGTTAAATTAATGTGAGTAGAGACTGATGTTATTGTACATACAGATCTGAAAATCCAACAAGTTTGATTGATTAATTTGAGTAAAGACTGATGTTATCGTGCATACCGATTTGAGTTTGCCAAAATGTTGTGGGTCGGAGAGAAACTCAGTCATCTTAGCTGTCCGCGGATGGTGCATCCACATGGTGGCGTCCATGAACTGCACTCCATTAGCTTCACACGCCTCCAAGATGGTGTCCAGCTCCGACACGTTGAGAGCCACCGGCTTCTCCAACAGCACGTGCTTTTTCTTCTGGGCGGCCAAGACCGCATAGCGCAGGTGAAGGCTCGTCGGGAGAGGCACGTACACGGCTTCCACGTCCGGGTCATCGATCACCGCTTCATAGCTGCCATACACTTTAGCCGTCGCCGGGAAGCCATTCTCGGCCGCAAAAGCCGACGCCTTCTCGATCGAACGGCTACCGATGGCGCAGATGGTGCAGTTGGGAGCGAGCCTAATCGCCCTTGATACCTTGCGTGCTATATTAGCACAGCCCAATATTCCGAAACGCACCGGCGTTTCAGCCATATATATATAGATAACCTTAGCCCAAAGTTAGTGAATGAAAAAAAAGGATGAGGATTAGAGGATATATGGTGCTTTGTTACTTGGTGGTGCTATCACTTTCTCTTTGTCGAAAATCCCAAATGTTCTATATTTTATGTGAATCTCAAGGACCCGTGGCTTCTTTTTGTATAATTTATGTGGAAAACGGTGTCCATCTACTCTGCTCAAAATCAGATCTTGTGCTATGAAAAAAAGTGATTCAAAATTTCAAGAAATGACCATCTATCAGTATCATTTTCTAATTGAAGGTCCACGTTTAAACCATTCCTATATAAAAAAAAAAAAAAATTATGCATGTTAGTTCACAAAATTTTTAAAAAGTATAAATAAATCCCCCTTAATCACTTTTTTTACAAAAAGTGAAATTGAAAACCTTATTTTACCTTTTTATTTCTCATTTTACCCCTCACCCATTTATATATGAGAAATGCTAATTTTGACCGACAAACACGTGTCAAATGTAGATTGGTGCATCTCAGCGATCACTTTCTTCACACTTTACCCAATAGCAACCACCAATGGCGGCGAGCTTGGCTTCGGATGATAGAGGTTGTGAAGGAGGCGGGCTGGCGCAGCAGTGAGCGAGGTTATGTGGTGATGGTGGCCGACGAGCAAGGACGGAAACAAGCTGCTTGTTTTGGTGTCGGTGGTCGGCGGTTGCTATTGGGTCTTCAATTAGTTCGCAGTTGTGTCGCTGTCTCCGTCTGATGGTGAGTTAAAAGGGTCGCATGTGGTTGGACCATCACGTGAGCGTTCGGATTGCGATGGGGTGGAATTCCTCGGCTGATCGTCGTCGGCAGCGGCGGAGTAAGGGCTGCGGAGTGGGCAGAGGGCGACGTCGTTTTGGGAAATAGTAGGGGGCATGGCGTGTGATGTTTCTGATTTTCAGCATTTTTCAATTTTTCAGAAATTTCATCGCCGTGAGGGCATTTCACAAATGGATTTTAGTTGAGTCCATTTGTGTTTCCTACATTTTGAATTATGTGAGCTATGTATCATTTGTATGATGGTGTATTACATGTATTCATGTGGTGTAAATTAAAGCAAAGAGAAAAAGAGAAAAATAAAAGTGGTGGCGGACCCACCACTATCCCATTCATTTTCTAGAGACCACATTTTTGATCTCTTATCTTTCTCTCCCGTAAGTTTCCCTCTCTCTCTCTCTAGTTCCTTGCTTTTTCTTCTCTATTTTGTGTCAAGCTTTGATCTTTGATTCCTCTCTCTCTACTTGGAAGTTTTATGTGTCGTTTGAGGCAAAACGGAGAGCACGACGAGCTCTACTCGTGAGTACCAACAATTTCAGCAAAGGGCCTCCATAGGGATTTCAAAATTTGGAACCAATTTTGAGGGTTTTGCACAAACTTGAGGTAGGGGCTTCCTAATCCGAATACTCTTGTACTTTTGTGAGTCAAATTACTTGAATTGTGACTTAACATGCTTATTTGTGCTAATTGTAGTTTAAAATGATTTAATTGTGTATATGTGATTATGTGAGGACATGTATTAAATGTATTATGTAGAAAGCATGCTTATATGATGAATTTTTATGCTTGTTATGTTTATATGCTATGAATGATGGATGAAGGCATACTTTGTTGTGTTATGTGAAAATCCCATATTGTTAAAGCATTAAAAGTATGAGACATGCATGTAAGTCATTGGGTTTCATGATGGGTAATGTTTTGGATAAAGTAAAAAAAAAGGGGGGGGGATTTTCGGGAGAAAATTATTTTGAATCGGTTTTGAGAAAACCCGGTCGCTGCGGAGGTACCAAAGGGCCAGAGTGTTAATATAGCCTAGAAGGAACTAGGGAGTCGCCCTAGCGTGATTGAGCTAGATAGGCCCCATAATGACGCCGCGGGGATACCAAGGGTCAGGGACACTAGCAAATCCTTCTCTCGTGTCGCTACGGGGTCACCAAAGGGCGGGTTATATTAACAGTTTGAAAGTGATGATTTTAAATGTGAAAAATGGGGAGCGACATTGGCATGCATTGCATCCCCATTGCATCATATTATTTATATTGAGATTGGAAACCATGTTGTAATTTTCCGACATTGTATGACCCCGATTTCCATGGTTCTATTCTTTATTTTGGATTCACGGGGACTCAAGAGGTGCGTCTTAGGCGCTACTTACTGAGCAAATTGCTCACCCCACCATATTTAATTTTTTTCTGGTCACGGCAAGGAGTTGGCGGATGATAATCCACCTCATGCTTGAGAACACTTAGGAAGCATTTTGGATGTATTTTTGTAGAGTTTGAACTTATTTTGTAAAGATGTTAACTTAGGATGTATTACTTTTGCAACATGTAAAATATTTGGATTTTAGCATGTACATGGCCAGTGGGGTAATGTAATTAAGGTTTACCATCATTTAATCATTTAGTGTATTTTGGTAACGTATGGTAAATTATGTTAACGTTATAGTTGTTGTTATTGTAGATGTTGAAATGTATTTACGTATGTACGTAAGTGTAATAGTGTGGGTGATAGGCTTTCAAAGTTGGTATATCTCGGTGACAGTGAGTGAGGATGACCGAAACCAGTGGACGTAAAATTTCATACGTCGACCGAGTTGCATAAACCAGTCGACGTGTAGCTTCCCACACGTCGACCAGTATCCTAACAGTAATACTTCGTTTGGTTGGAGGGATGAAAAAATAGATGGATGAGGAATCCCTAGGGAACGGAAGGTGTCTCCTCCATTTTTTGTTTGGTTGAATGGAATGGGATAGTAGAAAGAATTGATGGAGTGATACTTTTTTTTGTTTGGTTGGAAGGAAAGGAAAGAGATTTTTTATATTTTTTTACCAATATATCCTCACTGTATAAAATAATAAAAAGTAAATATCCATTTGAATTTTTTTGAAAAGGTTAAAATTGAAAATTGCATATTATTGGTAGTTATTCATTTTCTCTCTCCTCCCTTCCCCCCAAAATTGGGCGGATAAAAAAACATGAAGAAATGAGGGATGAAGCATCCCTCCTTGCTTCCTCCCTCTCTTCCCTTCCCTCCAACCAAATACGAAAAGCCTCATCCATCCTTCCTCTCATCCATCCCTCCTCAATCCATCCCTCCAACCAGACATAGCATAATCTTTTCACTGTGCACGTTCCAAACCAGTCGACGTGTAGCTTCCCACACGTCTACCGGTATCTCGGCAGTGGGTTTTTACCCGTTCCTGTTCCACATATAATTTTTTTTATTTAGTTTTCTCAATTACCCTCTAGCACCAAATTATTGTTGCGAATAATTATTTTATGACCCAATAAAATGCATTAATTATATTTTAACCACAGAAACGACTAGATTGTCCCAAACTTTATTTTATTTATTACGTGATGCAAGCAAATGACTATTATACCCTTTGAATCTCAAACTACTTGAATTGTAGCAAATTACCATCTTGCCCTTTTTGGACCATGATAATTGAATTTAACGTGAAAGGACCGTATTACCCTTGAACGTTTCCGGGTCGGGTAAGGACCCGTTAAATGATCCGGATCCATGAGGATTTGGGTCGTTATATGGCGGGAGAGGTTTGGGGAGCCAAGGCAGAGGCTGGAGGCAGCGGCAATTGGGGTGAAGAAACCGACTGAGATCCGCTGGGCGACGGTTAAAGAATCCGCTCCAAAATGGTTGAATCTTGAAAGAGACAGCGATCTGGTCGGCGACAGTTGGAGAATCCGGCTAAGATAGCGAACCCATTTTGATGAGAGACAGCGGGTCGGCGGCTGAAGCTTGAGAGTTGAGAGACAGCGGGCCGAACTGGAACAATGGGCTATGGAAACTGAAAAATATGGGTTTTGAATTTTTTAATTCTTGCAGACTTTGTAGTTTGCAGTTGTAGAGAGAGAGAGGACAATGTCGATCATGCAATTGCAAGGATTTTCGATGGCATGCACTAGAGGCATGGATCTCTTTATTTTCTTTTCTATTCGACGAAGGGTTGAGAGCGATTTGGTTATAAATTAGGGTGGAGCTGGGCGGTGGGTGGTGGGTGATGGAACTGGGCGGTGGATGAGTAGTGTTCATGGTGGTAGGGGAGGTGGCAATGACATGTTTGACTGAGAAGATGGTGGTCGCGGATGTTCGCCGGAAAGACGGGTTCATTGCTGATTGTTAGAGAGAGAAAGAGAATATGGAGATTATTAGAGATAAAAAAAAAAAATTACACAAATTTGGACAAAATGGTCATTTTACATGGCTGATATTTATAATCATTAATTTATTCAACTGAAGTGGGGGTATTATCGTCATTTTACACCGCACAGGAACCTATTTGCACCAAATTGATAGTATAGGGGTTTTTTTTACCACACAAATACTGATATGCACTATATCGATAGGAGAGGGGGATTTGTTGCACTTAACCTATAATAATAACACACACCTTTGCTTGAAATATAAAATAAATAAATTCATTTTACATTCGCTTCAAATTATGGTTTGTCCTATCGATCTATTCGTAATTTTTTTTTTTAAGGGTCCGATACTGTTACACACCTCCATGAACTCGATTCGGCCGGTTTACACCGATATTTGATAGAATCCGTTACACCGCGACCAATAACGCGACTGCAAACCATACTTCAAACTAGATGTATTTATTTTTTACACTTCCAAAGATGTCTAAAAAAACATATGGAATCAAAGCCTTGACATCCTTTGGAAAATCTTAAAATTTGGAGAAGCACCATTTTTCAGTAGCATAACTCCTCCCCATCAATAAAAAGTTGTGCCTAGAGTGAAGGAGAGAGTGCATATAGTGTTTGAATTATGCAGGAGACATCCACAAACCCTTTAAAAATAATAATAAAATAAAAATAAAATAAAATAAAAAGTAGTTTGGGCTTACTCACTAGATCAAATAAACACCCTATAGGAACCTTATACTCTGTCACCCTTCTCTCTGAGTTTAGAAAGGAGGCAATGGTGGTAAAAGTTAGCACTTATACCTACTAAGAAGATTAAAATTCCGGCATATTTCAAATCAACTAATGGCTCCGAAAACTCAACCGTGTTAGGCGTCGCTTGTAGTTCATGGTTGCAATACCAGAGCAAAAATAATTGAGGGAGATGGGGTTCGCAGTGTCAAGGATCATCCCTCAGTATTTGTGAACAAATAAAACCTATAAAACAAATAACTTTACCATAACTATTTTGAAGTTCTAAAAGCAACAATTGTCACATCCATCTTTAACAAAAAGGGAACGAAACTTCAATCACTTTCCATGTCATATAAATAAGTCGGCCTACTTTATGAGTTGAATAAGATTACACTGTATATACAGACACACAGCAAAGGTGAGTTTTCAGTTTCCATTCTCTTTCTAGACCTAATTTAAGAGTGACGGCTCATACCTAATGTCCAAACCTAAACCGGTTTAAAACTTTAAACGACTCCTAAAATGTCTCATTCATTCCTCTTTTTTTTTCTTTCCATTCAATTTTCTTCCTTCCTATTGAAGGAAGCATTAGTCAAAGAGGCTAAAGGCCTATTTGGTCTGTCACTCAAAAAAAAGTTCTAAAGAATGCAAAAAACATAAAACTGTTTTCAGAAAATTATAAAAGATAGTTAGTTGAAAATAGACATTTTTATAATTAAGTTTTCAGGAAATTGAACCAATCAGAACTTTTGTACAATTTTTTAATTTTTAATTTTTTCAAAACAGAAAACTATTATTTTGAGTGACAAACCAAGGCCTTTACTTTATTTTTAGCTCAAAACTATGGACCTATTTGGCATGCAATATGTTTTAGACGTTATATTTTTAGTCAATATCAAAACAACCATTTTTTTGTAGGAGTGTTTTGGGTTGAAATCGGAACAAGTTTGGTAATGAAAATTTGTTTTGGGAAATTCAAAATTTTGCTTTAATTCCTCCACTACAATACCAAAACACACGTGGTGATATGGGTTTGGGCCAAAAAATTTAATATGTTATGAACTATTCCAAACCAATATCAACCGTTCCAAACATGATATGGACTCAAATTTGAATACCAATATCAGAAAAATAATATCATAACGCGTGCTAAACAGTCCTATGTGATCTTGTATTACACAGAAAATGATACAAGATTCCAAAAAATGACTGTTATTTATATGTATTACATTTTGATTAATAAAATGTACACTAACTACTTTGCTTGTTGGATATGAAAAAAACACATAACAATACACAGCTCTGCATCTTGCAATAAGTATAAATTATAAATAAATAAATATATAAAATCATTTGATATTAGCTTCAAGATAAATGAAAGAAAAAATATATATATATATATATTTTTTCCTTTTATACACTTTCAAAGAAGTCTAAAACACAAATGGGATGAGAGCCTTCCCATCCCTAGGAAAATCTTCAAATTTGGAAAGATACCATTTTCTAGTGGCATAACTCCTCCCCATCAAATAGAAAGTTGTGGCTAAAGTGAAGTGGAATACATATAGAGTTTGAGAAATGCAGGAGACTCCTACAAAACCTAAAATTTCGAAGAAATAGTGTGGGCACATCACTATATCAAATAAACCCCCTTTGGGAACCTTATACTCTTTCTCACCCTTTTCCCTCGGTTTAGAAAGGAGGTAATGGTCGTAAAAATTGCCACTTCTTCCTACGAAGAAGATTACAATTCTGGCATACTACCGATCAATTGGTGGCTCCGAAAACCCTTGTGTTAGGCATTGCATGTAGATCATGGTTGCGGTGCTAATACAATAATAAGGGTGATAGGAATCACAGAATCAAGGGCCATCCTTCCACTGTATTTGTGAACAAATAAAACCTGTAAAACAAACAACTCTCAGTGAGCATTTTGAAGTTCTAAAAGAAAGAATGTTGTGAAATGAAAGCAATAGCAATAAGCTTCATGATGCAAACTAGCTAATTCACTCACTGAGCATAATAATTGATTCAATATATATATATGTGTGGAGAGAGGGAGAGAGAGTGGGTACCTCAAAGACCCTCTTGAAGAAATGGATGGTGAGAGCTGAATTTAGCAACAGAAATCTAAAACCCTTATGAGGGAGAAGGGCGTTGGAAGCAAGAGAGGCAAGAAATGCACGTGTATATGTTATGAGCATGCCGGTTCTGCTGGTGAATTTGATCTGCTTTGCTGTGGATTTTCTGTGAAAATTTGGAGTATTGCATGTGTTTTCCTCTGAATTCCGTAACGCCATAGATCACTAATGGTAGTGCAGTCATCACAGACACAGCCGTGATGAACACAGAAGGAGGCGGTGGGTATAAAAATCTCATCAGCAATACATACATCACCATATTCACCATTCACACACTCCTCTCTCACTCTAGTCTCTATATATATATTGGTTTTTGGTAGTTAAGAATGTGTAGATGGAAGCTATAATCATTTTTCATATTATATATATATTAGTCAACCTACTTTATGGTTGAATAGGATTGCTACGTATATATATGCACAAACAGCAATGGTGGTTAGTTACTAGACCTAATTTGAGAGTGATTGGCTCATACCTAATGTCCAAGCCTAAACCGGTTTAAAACTTCAAACAAGAAACAGAGGAATTCAATTGGAATTTGGCAATAAAACCAATCAATCAACAGATAAATTAAACAGAGAAATACTAAGCAGTGATCATAGGATCACATGCGTCTCACTGTGACGCCAACATGATTATGCAACTATTCAGTAGTTTTTTTCCTTTTTTTAATCATCCTGGTAAATTAGGGGAGGGAACTCGAACACGGATACAATCAGCTTAGAAAATTGGACGCTCTACCAATTAAGTCACTAAATAATGTCCGGCACGGATACAATCAGCTTAGAAAATTGGACGCTCTACCAATTAAGTCACTAAATAATGTCCGGCAACAATTTAGTATTTCCCTTTACGCACGCAGATGTAATGTCCCTTAAAGTGGCTAGCCCCTTTATTTTTAAAATTTCCATGATCTTGTATTATGCGTAAAGTGATTTAAGGTTTCAAGAAATGACTGCCATTTATTTGTATTACATTTTGATTAATAAAGCTTCATTTTTAACCCACTCATGAATTCTCAACACCAAACGGTATTTTTTCAATAATTAATAGAGAAAATAACCACTAACCAGTTTGCTTCTTAGATATGAAAATCACATGATAATACACAGCTCTGCTTCTTACAAGAACTAAAAAATAATAATAAAAATAAAAATAAAATAAAATTTGTATCAGTGTCAAACTAGATTTATTCATTTGTTTTTTTACACTTCCAAACATTTCTAAAAAACATATGGAATGAGAGCCTTCACATTCTTGGGAAAATCTTCAAATTTCGAAAGGTACCATTTTCTAGTGGCATAACTCCTCCCCATCAAGTAAAAAGTTGTGCCTAGAGTGAAGGAGAATGCATATAGCGTTTGAGAAATGCAGGAGATACCTACAAACCCTAATATTTCGAAAAAATAGTGTGGGCATATCACCAGATCAAATAAACCCCCTTTAGGAACCTTGTATTCTTTGTCACCCTCCTCTCTCAGTTTAGAAAGGAGGTAATGGTGGTAAAAGTTACCACTTATTCCTACTAAGAAGATTACGATTCCCACGTACTTCAGATCAACAGGTGGCTCCGGAAATCCTTGTGTTAGGTGTTGTGCGTAGATCATGGTTGCGGTGGAGATGCAATAACTGAGGGAGATAGTAATCACAGAATCAAGGATCATCGCTCCACTATATTTGTGAATGAATAAAACCTGTAAAACAAAAAAAAAAAAAAAACTTGTACATAATTATTTTGAAGTTCTAAAAGGAAGAATGTAGTGAAATGAAAGCAATCCCTAATACGTTTGGTGGATTTTTTTGTTCGGTTTTGCTTGAGAACTTTGTAATAATTTGGAAAAGTAGTTTGAATCTATTTTTCCAAACTTCTACTTTTATCCATAATTTGAAAGAATTAAAATCTTTAGTTTCTAGTATTTGGTCAAACTTCAACAAATTTAGGGGAAATTTTTTTCTCAAAAAACATAACAAAGAATCCATGTATATGTATCATTGATTCTTTTTATTTATGAGATATACTCTAATAGTGATATCTTTTCTACATGCACCAGATAATTATTGAGAAGTTTTTGGGAGCCGCTTCAAGAAAATAGAACTCCCAACTTTCAAGATATACCGAGTTTCCCATCAGGCTCTTCCTTAGAATCTAAATAGCTACTTACTTTCTGCAACCTCAAAAACTTAAAAGGTTTTATATAGTTAAGTAATTATCTTCTGAATTATTGTAATTAAAGAAACTTGCATACTTGGGTGAATACTTTTAATTAGAACCGCAAATAAATTGAATTGTTCATAAACAATTTACACTCAACTCGTATTCATTCATTAAGTAAACAGACGAATAAAAACACAATTTTCAAGCTCGTTTATAATCAAACCAAGCATTAACATCGCGTTAAATCTGTGAACAAACTCGTTTATTTATTACTTAATTTTATTTTTTCATTCCATTTATTAGTTTTAAAACTCAATATATTTTGGTTTAACATAAACTCGGCCTATCTATGTCATAACATGCAACTAAAAGCAAAGGCCCAATGGGGCATCACTTTCATACCATATCCCTTCATGTAAAAAGAATAAGACCCAATGAAGCGCATCTAAAGCCCGGGTCCAATGGGCCATCAGCATGCACATACGAATTGTTCAAAAACAAAGGAGTACAAAAGGTCGTTGCAATATTTATGGCCCAATGGGCCATCAATCTAGCCGGTCATAAATGAGTTGAATATTCGTTTATCTAACCAACACACTTCGAATCTCTCATCTAACCAACACAACTGGCATCTAAATCTAATCTGATTATTTGTGCGTACACATCCATTCATGTTCGATCCAATGACCTAAACTCGGGTCAACTCATATCCGACTAAACATTATTGACCTATTTTTAAAAAAATTCAAAAAAAAATTATCCATTCGCTCAAAACCATTTAATTAAGGACGGGTTTGGAAGTGTTAGTGGGTCTATTCAATAATTGTCACCTCTCTAGAGACCAGAAATTATACAGTTGGTATACCCTACACTATAAATTATTAGATGATATTCGAAAATCAATATAATAAGTTAAATTCAAATTTTCAAATTAAAAAAATAACTCTACAAAAATATATTAATATATTAAAAAAAAAATCACCAATCAAATGGACTAACAACATCAACTTAACACCACCATAGACACAGAATATATATATATAATTACTCTCTCTATATATACTGGTTGGTCTCTCTATGTATACTGGTTGGTGGCTAGAGAGAGAGAGTAATTATATATATATATATATATATAGAGAGAGAGAGAGAGAGAGAGAGAGAGTACCTCAAGGATCCTCTTGAAGAAATGGATGGTGAGAGCTGAATTCACCAACAGAAACCTAAAACCCTGACGAGGGAAAAGGGCAAAGGAAGCAAGAGAAGCAAGAAATGCAGGAGCATATAACATGAGCATGCCGGTTCTGCTGGATAATTTGATCTGCTTTGCTATGAATTTGTGTGAATCAGCATTCCAAAATTTGGAATATTGCAAGTGTTTTCCTATGATTTCTGATAAACCAAACAGGGCTAACGATACAACACTAATCACACACATGGCCGTGATGAACACAGGAGGAGGTTGTGGGTATATGAATCTCATCAATACAGACATCACCATATTCACTCCTCTCTCTCTCTCTCTCTCTTCCTCTCTCTTTCTCTCTCTATATTGATTTCTGTCTCTATTGGTTTGTTCGGTGTTTTATATATATACTACTAAAAGGGTGAGCTGAATCAATGAAATATGATATGTTAATGCTTTTAAAACTCTCTCCACGTTTTGGGTGTGAAATCAATCTTTGAAATATGATACATCAGTCGGTTTACTTTTATGACTTGTTTAGCATTACTATATTATATACGCACACGACAAAGCCCAATGGAATTAAAAACAAAAAATTCATTTAATTAGTACTCTTTAATTATGATTTTTTGGTAAAGGGAATCAATTAAGGTTCTTCTTCGTATGGCTATCTACTGTTGGGCGTGCCTTTACAGCTATATATATATAGAATAATTAGTGGTAAAACTTTTGGTCAATTTGGTTTGAACTACATACTTATATAGGAGTCACACTATACTTTTAAATGGATGCTTTTACACTTTGTTTATGTTTTGTTCATGTTCCGTGATTTAAATTTTATTGATTTCGTCATGTTTCGACCTCGGGCTCTGTACTCATTCGCAGGTATTCATGTTTAAACTTGTAAAAGGATCAGACTGAATCAAGCCTGATTCGGTCCAAATCTGATAAGTATTTTACTCGATTCGATTCGATAATTCAACAGATATTTTGTAAGTTAATTCAAATCCGATTTGTTAATAAATGGATATTCGATCCGATAATCGAATCGGATCCGATAAAAATATAATTATATATATATATATATATATATATATATATAAATATTAATGTCAAAAAAAACAATGATCAAAAGAAAAAGATATAAAACAAAAGATAAAGCAAAATATGAAAGAAAGAGAATAAAAAAAGATTAATTAGTCTTTGTTAATGAATAAACAATATGATATTATTAGCATCGTATATTAGGATTTATTAGTACGTGAATGAAAACACCATACTATTTTTATAGGTTGGGGGGGGGGGGGTGGGGGGTTGGTTACTTCTAGTACAAATATGATAGGTTGATTAATAATTATAAATATATATAATTATTTATATATATAATTTTATTCAGATCGGATCAATATAATCCATGTTCGATGTTAGGCTAATAAATTATTAGATTTGGATCGAAATCGGATTATTGAATTTTTTATTTAATCTATATCCGACTAATCATATCAGATTCAAATCAGGATCGACTCCATTAACAAGTCTATTCATGTAGTCTAGAATAGTGGTCTGAGTCGACCCCAAGTTGCAACTCGCGACCTAGAATAAGTGAACAAGGGAAAATAGTAAGCACTGATGTGGCTGTTTAAGATCCAAGCATCACGTGGACCTCACCTATGCACCAACATAATTGATTATATGATTATGTAAATATCATCACACCATCCATTCCAGTTAATCAGGAATCAGGATTTTGATTTAATATATGTGATATATTGAAAAAAAAAAAAAAAAAACAGAGGTCCTACTTTTAACAACTCCATTAATTATACAAGGCCATCAAATTTTATTAATGAACAAACCTATCTTATAAAACGAAAAGAATAATTTCTTTGTAATTTTTCCACATTAAATACATTTAAAAAAAATATAATATATTACATATTTTACTTAATCATGTAAATATCATATATGTAAGAAATATATGCATTTAGGATCGTTAAAGCTAATGTACAAAAATCTCTAAATTTATAAAAAGTAGTCAATGATAATCTAATGATCTTAGATTTATTTATTTTTTTTATTTTTTTATTTTTTATCCTAACAAATTAAGAGATGAGAGACTGGAACTAAGTCATACAATCCAGAGTGTGCTCTGACTCGAATTCTCACTATTTATGACTAAATTTTGCCTATCTCACGCTCCCGCTCTCAAATTTGCTCTCTCTCCTATTCCCCTTCCCGTTTTATGTGACTTAGGACCTAAACACGGACACGGACACACCTACTTAAAAAATTGAACGCCTTACCACCGCTGTCAATCCAACCACCAACCATAAATACATCAAACAACCCTACTTACCATCACTCACGACTGTTACCATATGTCCTGTGCACCACAGAAGTTGATCTTATCATACCGCAATTAATATGACCTTTGTCCACCACCACCCAGCCCAACCACCATGACTGTGATACCATTACATATTCTGATATTCACCAAAGACTCATCACAAATCCACGACTTCGAAAAGAGCAATACATCTTACTCCTTCACGATTTGGATCCTTTCCTATTACTCATTCATTTTGTAGTCACATCGTGCATAACCGAATTCTCTCCTATTACTCATTCATTTTGTAGTCACATCGTGCATAACCGAATTTTCTTCTGTGCCACAAAATGTCCTCTGTTAACACGATAATTTTAAATCACTTATACAATAATTTTAAATTATTTACTTAAATTGCTTATGGAAGGATATTTTATTGCAATTCGTAACTGATGTATTGTGCTGCATAAACCAGCAGACATATGATAAATTTTTTATTTTTATTTTTTGAAAATTAAAGCAACTCACATATATATGGAATGGGATGGGAGACTCGAACCTTAGCCATTTGGCCACAAGCACAAACACTCTACCACTGACCTATCACACAGGATCCCAACCCATAAGAAGTGATTCTGATTTTCACTTGTAATATTAAATTAACAATACAACACACTTACATCACCATACAACAAACTACCTCACATATGCAATATCTATGCAACACATTACACCACGAACTTAAAACCCTGCAACACCATTAAATCAAAAATTCAATGCCATTACGTAGTTGTTGGGTTGTCAATTTAAACACATCTGATCCAAAAGACCCTCGTTAAAAACATACAACAACTACTTCAACACTAAATTGGGCTCGTGCTTATTTATTATGCATAAACTCGGTCCAAATCTAAAAATACATAAGGCCCAATAGCCGAACACCCTAATCTGTGTGTGTGTGAGTGTTTTTTTTTTTTTTTTTTTTTAAGGTTCCATGGACATCGAGATCAGCAAAGGCACTACTAATTCAACATATATGTGTGTGTGTATCTATATATATATATAGAGAGAGAGAGAGAGAGTACCTCAAAGATCCTCTTGAAGAAATGGATGGCGAGAGCTGAATTTAGCAACACACATCTGAAACCCTGGTGAGGGAGAAGGGCAAAGGAAGCAAGAGAGGCAAGAAATGCAGGTGTATATGCTACGAGCATTCCGGTTCTGCTGCCGATTTTGATCTGCTTTGCGGTGGATTTCTGTGAGCCAACGTTCCAGAATTTGGAATATTGCATATGTTTCCCTCTGATTTCTGATAACCCAGAACTCGCTAATGATACACCACTAATCACAGACATGGCTGTGATGAACACAGAAGGCGGCGGTGGATATATAAACCCCAGCAATACAGACATCACCATATTCACTCTATTCACCCTTCTCTCTATCTATTTCTATAATTCTGTTTATATATATATATATATATATGTTGGTTTCTTAGTATTCACTGTTGAGCCATATATAAAATACGAGGTATAGAATTCTCCACGTGGGTATGAAATTAAAAGGGTATCAATTTAAGGTTTTATTTGTAGGACCATCTAGTGTTGGGCGTCCTTTTTGGTCATTCGAGGAGCCGTGTTTCGGGTCTATTTCGGACTTGGATCCAAGTTTAAAACTAACAAAAAGTTAGTGGCATTAGCAAGTCGAGAGTAATGGTGGTCGGTTATTCATTTATTTAAAAGTTTAAATTATTCGGTAATATTTTATATTCGTTTATTTTCCGTTATAACTCAGACCATCCTATCTAATAATGGTGAAGACTTGAACGCCCCCATGTCAAGGGCTTGACGTGATACCGAATCAAAAAATAAATCTTATTCTAATACCAACTATAAAGAATAAACGTTTACCCATTTATTCAAAAACTTTAACTATTAAATAATACTACATTCTTACCCATTTAAACCCATTCATTGGACAAGCTCTCCTTTGTAAACACCTAGTTGGTAAAGTGCATCCAGCTCGAGGAGCTGGGTGTCTATTCAATACTATATTCGGTTGAATTCAAGTTACATCCTTAACACTAAGTGGCAATAAAATCGACATAAGGGTCGCACCAAACTTTCATCACAAATCCATATTAAAGGCACAAATGTTGTCAAAGGGATATATATGTGTGTGTGTGTATATATACTCATTCATAGGAAAAAAATTCCCTGCCTATACAAAATAACAAAATAAAAAAAATAAAAAATAAAAAGGCATCACAATTCATCGTCACCTATACAAAATCAAGAAAGCGCCATATACCCCTTCCTGCCAAAGGGTACACCAAAAGGCTTAGGAAATCGTGAAAAAAAAAATTATGATTACTAATTTACCTTTCAAATAAAACAAAGGTGAAAAAAAGCCTAAATATATACCACCAACATTCAATCTTTATTGAGATCGAGAGATTGTCTAGCCATAAAAGAGGATTATGTTTGCACGTGTTGCTCCAAGCTTTCTAGCCTTTCCTCCGTCTCCTTCAATTTTTGTATTGCCTCCAAAGCCATCTGTTCAGCATCATCCGCTCTTTTTTTAGCTGCTGCCACTTCGGCACAACTAGAACGCCGCCATGATTGAGCGAGCTTTGCATCATGCCCAATCTCACGCTCATTGTCGTCCTTCTCACCAAGTATACTTTGAAAAGCTTCATTTCCGTTATTCGAGCATCCCTCTGGAGGAGGTACTAGAGACAACGAAACCATCTCTCTCTACAATTAACAATATAGATAATGTTTATAGAGTTAATGTTAATAATTTAATAATAATAAAAAACATGGGTAGCGAGTTATTCAACCACCGTTGCATAAATATATAATATACATATTATGCAGGTTATGGTTATGACAACTTGCCACTTCTGATGAAGCTCAAATTTTCAAGAACAATAATTAAATTTATGTAATCTATCATACATAAGATCTTTATAATCCGTGGAAATGGAGAAGTCCAACAGTTTTGGCCAGGAGGGGAAAATAAATTCGAGTTACCTAGAATTTTATTAGGTTGTCAAACTTCTGCAGTAAATACCCTCATACTTATTACTATTCGTAGGAAAAAAATTGAAGTAAAGGTGATGGAACTCGTGGTCGTAGAAAGTTCCCTAGTATTTTGGTAGTTAATAACCTAATACTTACTATGGGGTCAAAACATTCGTAGGAAAAAATTAAAGTAAAGGTGACAGAAATAATAGTCGTAGTAAATTCCCTAGTATGTGCTACAAAATTTATTCCGACGAAAATATAATAATAAAATAATTAAAAAATTAGAGTAAAGAAGATGACGAAATTATATTTCGTAGAAAATTTTCTAATATTTACTACAAAATTCACATTCCGTAGTAAATACTCTGTAGTAAAGATGACGGAATTAATATTCCGGAGTAAATACTACACTACTTACTACGAAAGTGATTCCGTAGTAAATATTTTGTATCTTAACACTGAGGGTGCTCATCATGATAACTTTTTCATATCACTAATCAAATTATCAAATTGACCGGCATTGACAAAATATAAGGTAAGCACGATAAGAAGCCAATTTGACTAAAAAACCGTTTGCCGGGTTCTGGACCACATAATTCATGAAACCTAAAATTGCATAGGTTTAAAAGTAATTTAAATTCAACAATATACCTGATTGGCTGCATATGACCTTTTAGGAGCATTGTCAGGGTGCTCCAATCCAAGGTCCTGTTCCCACTTACCATAAACATCAATTCTCTGAAAGCACTGTGAAAATAAGAATAAGAAAGAAACGAAACAAACCACCCAAATTAAATGACCCATGCATGCGCAAGTGTGTGTGTGTGAGAGAGAGAGAGAGAGCACCTGAAAACGGCTGGACAAAAAGTCAGAGTCCTGAAGGTATTCAGGACGACCCAAATAAAAAAATGCAAACTTCCACTGGTGAGGAAAAGAACAAAAACAGATTAAGAAAAGGACCTTACAAAAATAGATAAATTTTAAGGTTTAAAAAAAAAAAAAAAAAAAAAAAAAAAAATAGATATTAAATATGAATTAAGCAAGAAATGTCAAACTATGTGGCATGCTTTTGGGCTCCACAGAGCAGATAATTTAAGGAGAAAAATATCAAAAGATACCTTTGAGAACTCCTCATCTGGAACCTGCAATTTCTTCTGTATGCGCACTTTAAATTCTTTTAAAATCTCACCCTCATGGATGACCAAAAGAAAGAGTTCCCCAAAATTCTTAACCGGCTGTAAAAAAAAGAAAATTTTGAATACTAGTACGCTAGAATCTCAGTTTACAGTGTATGATAGATTAAAGTATTTTTATTTTTTATTTTTTGGTAAGTAGGATAGATTAAAGAATCTCAATGCCAGCAAAGAACAATGCACGCACAGCGGCGTCTCTTATATCTTTCTCCTGTAGATACTTACCAAGTGGTTCGGAGCTGTGTTTTTCATAAAGTGATAAACATGAATCAAGCGATCATGGGGGCCAAGGTTTTTCTCCTCTTCGGGAATCTGTTGTGAAGAACAAATTTAGTCTAGAATAATGAATTAACCAAAACAATCAAAACCTCTACTTTTTTGCTCTACCAGTCCGATACAATGCATTCAGACCAATATTGTTCTGCTGATATCAGCCAGATTATCAGGAATTGGAAACATAGTGAATTGGTAACAATAAATAAATAAAAATTGAAACATGTAAACAAAGAATTAAACTTCCAAAGTGAAGTAAAAACTCCTAACATTTTGTCAGAGGAAAAAATAAAGATAAAAAAAAACACAGCACTACATGCTCAATGAAGGTTTGGGTAAACTCAAGTTTAGTATTAACCAACAGCACAAACTGCTCAATGAAGGTTTGGAGAAATTCCAGTTCAATATTAACTTGACCTTCACATGGAAGTCTAATCGGAAAAATCAAGTCAAATCTTGAAGTACCTTTATGAAATTTAGAAAATTAATATTATGCATCCAAATAGCTGAAAAGACAAAATCAAAAGAAAACTGAACTCCACCTGTACAAATCACCAGATCAACAAAGAATAATAGTTACCTCCTCAGCTCGTAAAGTCCGGTATTGATCATTAATGTTCTCAATCTTCTCATTAAGTGGGAAGATCTGTAAATGATGTTGGCAGAAATACAAATTAGATCACCCAAAGAACTTAAGATAATATCTAGTAGCCTAGCATAAATGTTTAACATGCAGGAATTTTTTTAACAATTAGCTGTCATGTCGTTCACTAATGTGGTTTAAAAAATTCAAGGACCTAGAGGAAGTTTTAATTAGGAACATTTTGAGTTGAGTCAGAGAGAACATGTACTTGATGACACTGACTTTTGGATAGGTATATGCTTTCAAAAGTGTCAAAAAAGTAAATCTCAAAAGCAAACTTTAGTGTTCACAAAAGCTTGCATCATCTCCCTGAACATATTTGCTTCATGTGAGGCAAACGACTACAAACAAAGAATAAAAAAAAAGATAATATATATGCAGCGAGGTAACTACATCAACTATAGAAACTAACATTCAATCTGAATTTGTCTCTCACCAAGTTAAATTCAAAAACAAAAAAAAGAAAAAAAAATCATTATAAAGGAACAACAAAATGCATATAGTCAATACCTTGTAGATCTTGTGTTAGAATACTTCAAGCAATCTAAGTTCGACATTTGGATGAGACAACTCAACCTGAACCTGAACAAGGCATAAGAATGAGTAACTATCTTTTCTACAGAAAGCAATACAGAAACTTTTGTGGCCAGAGAATATGAATTGCAAGTATATCAAATAATACTAAGAAAAGATTAACTAATTATAAAACTAATAACAATTTGCTTCAACAATGAGGTGACAAAAGAATGTTTTTCAAAATTCAATAGATTCAGGCACAATTACCTTTAAAAAAGTCTAGATGTCCACTTTGAAAGCATAGAAAAGTGTCAAGAGTTACCTTTGTCTTAAGGTCATTAATAACATCCCCTACAGTGTTTTCTTTAGGCAGTCTAATAGTATGAATTACTACCTGAAAACAGTAGAAACAAAATTGAATGAGAAAAGAGAACATATAAAAGTGACTGCTATAGAAAATGGCACTCACCTCATCCTAAGTAGCATGATGAAAACCGATTCTCAGAGTTTTCAAGCCCTGCAGTTCTGGCAGAGGAATATCCAGCACTTCATAATATAGAATATCTGAAGTCTAAATATTTTTTTTAGGGGAAGGGTGGTGATAAGCAGTCAGAAAACTATGGTTACTTAAAATATAAAGATCAAAAAACAACGCTAGATCAGACTAACAATATTTTTATCAACAACCTGACTGTAGTGGACCAGCATGTCTGACAGATGTGCCGCTCCTCGGTATTTGATTGGTAGGGGTTTAGGTTGCTGGGAGATGCAGTTATGAGATGTAAGTCTGATTTTAGATGGATCATTCATACTGAGATGACGAGCTACTCTTTCCACAACATCATCATAATTGTGAAGCTTTGACCTAGAATTTGAAATGGAAAACAATACAAAATTATTAAATATTAAATTAAATGAAATAGATTCTCTGCTGACAAGAATAGCGGTAAAATAAAATTTATGTACTGGCGAGACATACAAGTAAAGACAGAACTCATCTTCCTTGGGTTTCTCCAGAGAACGGAATCGAACAACCTATGAAACATCAATGATAAGAAATACATCATGTTAAGGAAGGAGGCTATCTGAGAATAACTCGCAAATAGGCAACATAATAGGATTTATAAATGCAGAAGGCTTGAACTGCAGGGCTAGAAGGAAAAGATAAAAATAAAAAATAACAGTTTTGTATTAACTTTGAACACCAGTATTAGCTCAATTCTTGAACTTCCTCCTCTTTCCCTTCTACCCCTCTTATAAAATCAACTCCCTCTTATAAGATTATCTTAAACGAACAGTGATGTGCCCATTTTGACATCTACAAGATATAACAGTTTATGAAGATATTTCATCCAAATTTTAAAAAGAAGGTGATATCTTATATAAAATTGACAAAGTGGACACATATATCCATGTCAACAACGAACTTGGGAGCTTGGCATGCCCTCATCAATAAAAAGGTATCGAAGCCAGCAGGTTCAGACTTCAGCTGGATACGGCCTAAGGTGATGCTCTTTCTAGCGTAAGAAACCCAAAAAAACTTTCTTTTTTTGCCAATGGAACTCGACAATTTCTAAGACTCATCTGGCTTGGACAAAAAACAAAAAAAAACAAAAAACCAAAAAAAAAAGTGAAGATGACTGTGGAGTGTGCAACTGTAGATTCCAAATGCAAACATATCACTAAACATCACACCCAAACAACTAATTGTTGCACTGAATCTAACATACACATGTACAATAAGCAACTGAATATTCAACTTCTTGTCTAGCCAAAGAGCTACTAGGCCATTCAATTTAAATATATCCAATATTTCAGAAATTTAATATAGCATTTATTGGTCAAACTCCCAAAGCCTAGTACTACTGAAAGCCCCGAATTCTTTCATTCTTCTTTTCTTCTTCGGACTTTATTTATCTCATATATTGATATTAAATTGTAATTGAAACTTAATCTCAATGTCCACCTGGTGCATCACCAATCTCAGAAAAATAGTGCAGCTTGTTAGTCGAGGACTTCAGAGGAAGTTTTACCTCCCTTTTGGCTACTGTGTAACTAGCCATGAACAATGCAAAATCAATGGCATTTCTAACAAGCAGTGACATAACTTTCATGTTAAATTCATTAAAAGATGGACAAAGAACTGGCAATGTAGGTTCGGTTCTGGGAACGTACTTTTCAGAAAGATATTCAGGTTAGCTACCCTACGGAGAGAAGAATCACCACGAAACAAATACCAAAATATTATAAATGAGTGAGCAGATGAAATAACAAGCAATTTTGGAGGGAGAAGAGGCTCCGTGGCAGACAAGAATGTGATCATGAATCACCGCAAGAACACCAAATCGAGATTACACTGTAAAATGTAATCATTACAAGACAATGGGGAGCACAATCAAGAAGATAGATCCCTACTAATCATCAAGGGAATGAGTCATTTCAAGCACGAAAAACAAATAGAGGTCATAAAATTCTGTTTCCATAAGACCAGGGTTCAGAACAAAGACCTTTACATACTATCACAGCCGTTATATAATGGCCTCCCCAAAAGGCAACATTGTTATAATCCTAACTCCATCCCTGCCTTTTAGGATGTCATACCAGCACTTCATCAGTGTGCTACGATGGCTTTGAAATTACCAAGGGTGTCATAGGATCGGATTGAGGATCATAAGATTCCATAAAACTAGTATAAAAATACCCTAAACTAACTTTTTAAATGAAATTATTTTCAAATAAATAGAGAATAAGGCTTAACACAATATCATCAATATTCTGACAAAAATCAATTAACAATAAAAGATAGTAAGATAATAAGCCACATGACAAACACTTACACAGTTTCATCATTTCCTCCATGCAATAACGTGAACATAATAATCAAGCGAAATTTTACAGAAGCAATTCAGGCAAACCCTAAACAAAGAGAAAAGAGGAACAGAGAAATAGAGAGAGAAAAGAACAATTTAGTTTAGTTTCCTAATTATCGGGGCAATATTGTTGGAAAAATTATATTTTGGTAAAGAAGAAGAACAAAATAGAGAGAGAGAGAGAGTAGAGGAAAAAACAATAAAGTCTCTCTATTTGGTTCAGAATGGGCAAATAATATGCGGGGAAACTAAGCTCTCTTTGTTTTTGTTTTGAAAAAAATAATTAAATAAAAATCAAGAAGAATAGGGCAAAATGGAGGAACTTTTTGAAGTTTTGTGTCATACCTTCGAGGTTTAATACTAGATCACGCTTACCTTTGAAGTTGGGTTTTCTCTTTTTGTTCTTTATAAGTGAAATTAGGTTAAATTGTTGGACTTTACACTTAAAAACCTTAAATTTCCTTGCCAATAATGGGTTGTAGGCCAAAACAAATTCAGAAAAAACAAAAACAAAAAAACTCAATTTAGAAGGATACAAGATTTTACGATCCTAACTCCAATTCTATCAATCATACTGCGATCCTACTTCCAAATTATTCTTCTTGCGATCTGGATCGACTTAGTAATTTAGAATTGTAGGATTATAAGATTCTACAATCCGGAGAGGGAATCTAACAACCATGAAAATTACAGACATGCTTTAGCTTGCACTAACACATTTTCCATAATCCAAAAGCTATTTCAATAACCCAAGCTTATAGATCTAACATACTCAAAATAATAATAATAATAAAATAAATAAAAATTAACCTACTAACAGAGTAGTCCAGTGTTTAATTGGACTGCTGAACTGATAAAGTATCATGAAAAAAAATTGAGCTAAATTTCCCATTAAAAGAGCAGCTGCAACAACAAAAGGTGTGAGATTTAACATATTCCTTTTCTCTTTTTTTTTTGGAATTCTTGATTTGCTGTGTGAGATATTGTCCGCTTTGCACCCACATTTTAAAATGCGAGGACAAAGGTAGGAGATATTCCCTATAATTCTCGGAGATGTCAAGGACCTAGTATTAAATTACTAATTCATAACCAACTTCATTTATGGTGGTGTTCGATCATCTTGGTCAAAGTACTCTTTAAGTTTTACATTATTAGGCCAAGTTGCAATAACTACTCAGGTGAAAGTAACTAATCAAATGCGACGTTAAGATTGAATAAATTAACACAAAATACAAGAAATAATATGATATATATATATATATATATATATATATATATATACATATACACACACCACGTAAAACGCACTGGAATTTTTAAGTGATCCAGAGCAAGAACCGGAAAGGCTAGTAGTCTTTGCTCTTTGACTGTTTGTTTGATGAATTGAAGATGGTCTCGTTTTCGACTTCGAATAGCTGAAATTCAGATTCAATGAAAACTCTCCATCTTCATCGTCCGATGACGAAACCACAATGGTGTACCTCCTCCCCATCACTCCCTATATATGTATATATAACAATAATTATAGAGCTTTGCACTGGTAACAGGAAGATTTACAAGTCGACGAAACCCTGTACCAAAACTTCCAATGAGATTAAGCAACAATGTATCGAACTCATCAAAACCCTAGATGTGTAAGTAAACAATGTATGTATTGTAGTGGGTTCGAAAAACGCGGGTAATTTTAGGAGAGTTTTGTGCCGTAAATTTTTTCCCCTGGAAGTAAAAGGAGGGCAGTAAAAGTAATTTTGGAGAAAGGTTAACACCACGATTCTCTAGTTTAATAATCAATAATCTATTAACTTGCTACCACCCTTGTTTACTTGTGTTAATAAGGCTGCTATTTCGGCGAGTTTGAGGTATAATTTGAATCCAATTCATCATATGAAATACTAAATTTAAGTTCAACTCTAACCCTATTTTCAACTCTAACTATTTAACCCAAGCTCAACTCATCTTTCTATTTTCAAATTCGGGCTTGCAACTCGAGCTTAGATTTCTGATTTAAAATTTGGGTTAATTCGGATTACTAATGACCATCACACCGAAAATTTAATATAATCTTGAATTAGTTTTTGATTAAATTACTCTTAAACAATAAAAAGTTTAAAAACTTTTTGTAAATTTGCAATAAATTTCAAACAATTTTTTAGAAAATTAAATCTCCTAAATGTTAACATATAATAGATTAAGATTTAATAACGGATGTTGAAAAGAAAAAAGTAATCATAGTTTAAATATTATATATAATGTATTTAAAATTTAAAATATATATGAAAATAATATTAAAATTCGGGTTCGGGTTGCTATTACCTCAACCTAAGCCCAACCCTAATTAAATTAGGGTTGAGATTTTTCAACTAAGGCCCAACCCAAATTATAAAAATAATTGTTCAAACTCGCGAAAAATCGAATTGGGCTCAGGTTAGATTTGGGTTGCCCAACCCAAGTTGTACCCCTAATCCTTAACAATGCCACTCTTATTTAATTTGTTGTAACTAGTCTATTAATGTAAGTGCAAAATGCAAATATAATGAAAATTTTAAAATAATGAATTATATTAAATTTATTAGAGCAATTGTGACCATACAATTAGAAAAATAAATAAATAAATAACTAAATAAATAAAAAATAAAAAATCTAAGGTCAAATTTATATTGTTGAAATAATAAATATGTCTATGAGTTAGAACCCATTTGGGATTGTTTTTCACTTTTTAAAAGTGCTTTTATTTTGAAAAATTGCGTTTAGAAATTAGCTTAGTAAATCTGAAGTTAGAATTTGGAGTTTTCAAAACTGCATTCTTAGTAGAGGATGACATTTTTGGTAAGTCATTTTCATTAGGCAATTTTGTCCCTTTTTTTGTTTTATATATAGACAATTACCCTCCTCCTTAATAAAGTTGTCATTATAAAATATGATAACATTATATTAAAGGATATTATTGTAAAATTAGCAATAAAAGTGTTTAAAAAAATATTATTATCAAATAAATTAAAAAATAATTTAATTATGAAAGGTACTTATGTCACTAAACACTTAAATAGATCTAAATTGACCTTCGACACGATTAAAATATATTAATAGTAATTGAGTTAAAACTTAAACTGATTGATCTTCAAAACATGAAAACAACACGATTAAATAAACAAGTTAAACCGATTTAACCTAAATTCGCTAACTTTATATAGTGTTGTAGAGACTTTTGTTCCCGCATAGAATATTTTTTTGAACTTTTTTGAATTAAGAAAACATGTAAAATAGTTATTTTATTTTTCTAACTCACTAACGATCCGAGCCATAGAGTTGAAATTTCGACAGGACTATTAATCATATATGTTTACTAGTATTAAGTTGTTGCTTATTTCATTCTTTAAAATAATAATAATAATAATAATAATAATAATAACAATTAGTCATGAAAAATAATATATATAAAATAAAATAAAATAAAAAAGGAAGTAAATTAGAGATTTCATCACTTTTCTGCCTTTTTCTAACGATCAACAAAGGGCATGTACGGATTTGATTTACATGGTTCCTGAAAAGATGAGAGAGTTAGTCCTTCCCTAAAACAATAGGTCCTTCAGAGTGTCATCTGTATGAATTGGATATAATTTTTTTTACATTTTTTTTCTAATAATGATAAGTCTTCCGAAAGTCAGATGCATTCATATTTTATGAGTAGGACATCATTATATATGATTACACGATGACATTATACACTACTCACATATATTTAATTAGATGTGTCCGACTATGATACTCTGTATCAGAGCTGAAAAACATAACCAATAGCAAATACAATGCCGGTCGAGACCACAGTGTATATCACTATTGCGAAGAAAAAAATACAAAAAGCAAAAACTGCTGTCTAATCAAATTCAGAAATTGCTGCTTGGAATGATATGGAAACAAGACCAATGTCTTCAATAAACAACATTGAGGACAAAGACCAATTGAGACTTGACTGAAAATAGTCATCTCTCTTGCACAGATACAAGAAAGCCCATATAGAGAACTAAATCAAACGTTATACAGACCTCGCATTCTCCGAAAACGCCTAATAAACCACAAAGGGAGGATCGGACAAGGAAAAAAAAAAATTTGTTAACACACACCTATACGCTATCTATACAATCCCCACCCCAAAATCTCATATATTCCTAAATTACAATAAAATTGAAGACAGGAATATCACCTACCTACCTCACCCCAGGTAACGGGTGCTTTCAGGAGAGAGAGAGAAAGAGAGAGAGGTATATTGAAATCATGGAAGATACACTGCATATGATCCGTCAAACCCGATAAAGAATTGGACGTCTGTGTACATTAGAATACACCGTCTCACTGCTATTTTCCTTTTATCCCGTGCTTGCCTTCTTCTTGGATCCGCACATGCCATTTAAGGAAAAACAGATTCTGACAACGCATTGGCAGAGATTCAACTGATTTCTCCTAATTGTAGATCCTAACGGGCTTCTCAAGTGTGTGTCGATTCTGCAAAATTGCAGCAAATCACCAAATTCTTTAATGACTTCTAACAATTTATTTACAAAACGAGCAAGTCATCCTCTGCCACTGGATCGAGAGGCACATTCTCGCAGCCTCTCAATCTAATGTCTGAGATAGCATGAGCTTATTGAAAGCACCATTATGATAACTTTTACCTATCACTAATACAATCGTCATATCGACTGTTTTCAGCCTTAAAGAAATATAAGGTAAAAAGAGGGAAGAAATAAAAATGATGCTTTGTGAAAAGTAAATTTGACATCAACAATTTGTGGGTGTTTGGGATTTGCTTCTCTAGTACTGAAAAGCACTTCCATTCTAAAAAATTGCGGTGCAATGTGTTTGGTGGGGAGAAAAAAAAAAAAAAAAAAAAACTTTTATAGATGGTAGAGGTTAGGTCTAAAAAGTACGTTTAAGTAAAGTTAGGAATCGTAACTTTTGCGTTACAAGTAGAGGTCCATGTTTTTAGGTAACTAATTTTCTTTTAGAGAATTTAATCCCTTTATATTTTTTATAAATACAATTTTATCCCTTCTACAAACAAATAACAAACAATATCTAGGACTCTGTAACAAACGAAAATCCTAATTTATTTGGAACTCTCCAAATCAGATACAAATTAATCATCATTAAAATATGTTTAACTCATTTATATTTTAGTACTCAATACAAATTCGATATCATAAACAAAATATGTGATATTTAAAAAAAAAAAAAAAAAAACCAATACAAGTTGATCTTTATAAATTATTGAACTCAATGGAATTTTATAATATTTAATATTAGGGAATTAGCACATGTTTAGTGTAAGGGTAATATAGTAAAATTAGTAATAAAAGTGCTTTAAGCAACATTATTACCAAGCAAATTTAAAAGTGTTTTCAAGTATAAAAAATGCTTTATACAATGTGTCACCAAATGCTTAACTGTGTTTCACTGACAGCAGTTTTATATTAGCTCTATTATTAAAAGCGCTTTTAACTTTATAACAGCAATCCCAAACGAACTCAAAATTTTGTCTAGTTTTCAAGCACATTTCAAGAAACCAAAAACTGCAGCAGTTTAAAAGTAATATAAATGTAATGATATACCTGATTGGCTGCATAAGACCTTTTAGGAGCATTGTCAGAGTGCTCCAATCCAAGGTACTGCTCCCACGCACCATAAACATCTCTTCTCTAAAAAGCACAAAGTGAAAATAAGAATAAGAACGAGATGAAATTAACCACCCAAAATAAATGAGACATGCGCGTGCACGCATGTGTATGAGGATGAGAGATAGTGAGGGAGAGAAAGAGAGCACCTGAAAACGACTGGACACTATGTCAGAGTCCTGAAGGTATTCAGGACGACCCAAAGACAAAAATGCAAATTTCCACTGGCAAGGAAAAGAATAAAAACAGATTAAGGATATGAACCATATAAAAATAGATATTAACTAAACAGCAAAAAAAATGAGGCATTTTGAACCGTTCCAACGTCGAGCAAAATACTTTCAAAGGAAAAAACGAGTACCTTCGAGAACTCCTCATCTGGAACCTGCAATTTCTTCTGTATACGCATTTTAACATCTGCTAATGTCTCGCCCTCATGAATGACCAAAAAAAAGGGTTCCCCAAAATTCTGGACCTGCTGTAAAGTTAAAAATATAAATATAAATAAATAAAATACAAGTATCACAGAATCTCAGTTAGTGTGTGATAGATTACAATATCACAACACCAAGACACAACAATTAATGCACAGCAGTGCCTCTTATATCTTTCATCTTTATATACTTACCACCTGGTTCTGAGCTGTGTCTTTCATAAAGTGATAAACATGAATCAACCGATCATGAGGGCTAAGGTTTTTCTCCTCTTCTGGGATCTGTTGGGAAGTGTAGTCAAAACAATATTAATTGGCTAATATGAGCCAGAATTATCAGGTATTGAAAACATAGTAATTTAGTAAGAACCTACAAAAGTTTTTGAAATATGGAAACAAATTACATCTAAAGTGCAGTAAGAAGTTCTTATAGCTTTCCAGAGGGGGAAAAAAATGCAAAAGTCATCTTAAAAAAAATTGTGAGCGTCAGCATCAATAAACTGGCATTCATAAAGGGCGTCAACACTCAAGGGCATCATTATCTCACAGGGTTTGCCCATCAAATTTGACAACTCTCTCTTTTTCTTTTCTTTTTTTCAAAAGGTATTTTCAATACTCGTGTCACGGCCATATTAATCCTATTGTCCCCAACAAAAATTTATAGAAAGCAAGTGTTCAGATACTTTTCACAAACAAACAGCACTAGCTGCTCAATTAAAGTTCGGGAAAACAATCTCAAAAATCATCTAAAAGGAAAACAGAATAAGAATCAAAATCAAGTACAAAATTTCACCCGGAACCAAGTGGACCCTATCGGCTGTCATCAAGTGAAGGAAATTCAAATTTAGCAATAACCAACAGCACAAGCTACTCAATGAGGGTTTTGGGAAGGTCCAGTTCAGTGTTGACCTGACCTTCGAATCGAAGTCAACAATATGAACAGAAGTCAAATCTTGAAGTATATTTACCAACATTGTAGTATGGCCAGAGATTGTTGGGATTTGATGCTTGGTTTATTTGGGGTTCAATGGGTTATGCCTTGTTCTTCTAGAGGGTTGATTGAAGCTTGGAGAGGCGTATCGGTTGGGGCTTCCATTCAAGATGCTTGGAGGGCTACGCCGCTTTGTATTTGGTGGTGTATTTGGCTCGAGAGAAATAGGAGATATTTTGATGGAAAAGAAAAGCCTGTTTCTATGCTTAAGTTCTCTACTATTTGTACTCTTTTTTGTTGGGTTTCAGGGAGAGATTATAGATCTGCGGAGGAAATTATTGTTTTTTTGGCCTCTCTGAAGGTCTAAGGCGCCCTTTAGCCTTTTGTTTTGTATCTTTGGTTTCCGCCCCCTTTTTGAGCTTTTTTAATAAATTCTTACTTATCAAAAAAAAAAAAGTATATTTACCAAATTTAAAATATCAATCTTAGGCATCAGAATAATTTATAAACAGGAAGACAAAAGAAAACCCCAACTCCACATGCATGAATCACACCAACAACAAAGGATAATAGTTACCTCCTCAGCACGTAAAGTCCAGTATTGATCATTAATGTTCTCGATCTTCTCATTAAGCGGGAAAATCTGTAAATGATGTTGGCAGGACAAATAAGATATTCTAAAGAACTTGAGATGATATGCAAATTTTTTCTCACAGAAAATTCGTAACAGTCACTAGTCACTACGAACTCACATCCTTAACTAATGTGGTTTTTGAAGTTCAATGATCTAAATTAGGAATTTTAATTGCGAACTTTTTTAGACGATTAGAGAGAACAATAAAAACACGCAAACACACAACATATAAGAAAGAAGCATCTAGCAACAATTAGAACATACTTGTAATTTAGAAACTCAGTTTTATAATAGGAACTCATTCAGGAAAATTCTTGGTTATAATAAATTGCACATACACAATGTTTGTTATTATTATCAGGCCAGTGTAAAACCAGAATTTCAAGAATCCATGAAATTGGGAAATCATTTTGTTGATGAGACTGACTATATTAGACTGTACATGCGTTCAAAACAGTGTCAAAAGAAAATAAATCCAAAATGTAATTCATTGCTATCGAAAGCATGCATCATCTCCTTCACCATATTTGCTTCACGTGATACAAATAACATAAAAAGTGAGGAACTTACTACGCAGCGAGGTAACTACATCAACTATAGAAACTTAAATCAAGCTGAATTTGTCTCTCACCAAGTCAATTTCCGAAAGAATGCCTCAGAAAGAAGCAATACAACATGAATAGAGTCAATACCTTGTAGATTTTGTGATAGAAGACTTCAAGCAATCTAAGTTCAACACTTGGATGAGACAACTCAACCTGATCCATAACAACGCATAAGAATGAGTAGCTTCTTTTTTTTCTACAGTGCAACGACAGATAATTGTGAGCTGAGAATATGGATTGGAAGTATAGCACAAAAAGCCAAGTTAAGTACACAAAATTATAAATCTAATAACAATTTGCTTTAGCAAAGAAGTGAGCATTATTTGTTTCTCATAATTCAATCGATGCAAGCACAATTTCCTTATTTAACCAATAGTAGATGTTCACTTTGAAAGTATATTACAAAATGCCAAGTTCACAAAATTACAAATCTAGTAACAATTTGCTTTAGCAAAGAGGTGAGGAATTTTTTCCTTCAAAATTCAATCAATGCAGGCACTATTTCCTTTAAACTAGAGTAGATGTCCACTTTGAAAGCATAGAAAAGTAGCAAGAGTTACCTTTGTCTTGAGGTCATTAATAACATCCCCTACAGTGCTTTGTTTAGGCAATCTAATTGTATGAATTACTACCTGGAAACAGTTGAACCAAAATTTAATGAGAGAAAAAGAAGATAATAGAAGAGACAGCTATAGAAAATGGCACTCACTTCATCCTTGGTAGCATGATGAAAAGCAACTTTCAGAGTTTTCAAGCCTTGCAGTTCTGGCAGAGGAATATCCAGCACTTCATAATACAGAATATCTGAAGTCTAAATATTATTTTAGGGGAAGGGTGGTGGGAGATAAACAGTCAGAAAACTATGTTTACTGAAAATATAAAGATCAAAAAGCAACTCTTGACCAGACTAACAATCATTCTATCAACAACCTGATTGTAGTGGACCAGCATGTCTGACAGATGTTCCGCCCCTCGGTATTTGATTGGTTGGGGTTTAGGTTGCTGGGAGTAGCAGTTATGAGATGTAAGTCTGATTTTAGATGGATCATCCACGCCATGATTGTGAGCTACTCTTTCCACGACATCATCATAATTGTGAAGTTTTGACCTAGATTTGACATGGAAAACAATAAAAACTATGAAATAATAAATTAAATAAAAAAAAAATTCGCCATCGACTAGAATAGCTGTAAAGTAAGATTTATATGCTGGCGAAACATACAACTCAAGATGGAATTCATCTTCCTTGGGTTTCTCCAGAGAACGGAAACGGACAACCTGTAAAACATCAAATGATTAGTAAAACTTGATGTTGAGAAAGGAGGCTATCAGACAATAATTTGCAAATAGCTGGCTTAATAAAATTTATAAATGCAGAAGGATTAAACAAATACACTGGCACCAAAAGATATAAATAAAAATAACAGTTTTGTATAAATTTTAAACACCATTATTAGCTCAATTCTCAAAGAGAACTTCCTCCTCTTCCCCTCCTACCTCTCTTCTAAAGTAAAGTTCCTCGTACAAAATCATCTTAAACAAAAAGGTATATACTCATTTACAAGATCTAACAGTGAATCAAGATATTTCAGCCAAGTTTAGGAAATAAAATGATGTCTCATATATGCTTGACCAAGAGGACACATATCCATGCCAACGGCAACAACAAACTTGGGAACCTGGCATGCTCCTGCCAATAGAAAGGTACAGAAGCCAGCAGGTTAAGACTTTGGCTGGATATGATCCAAGATGGTGCTCTTTCTTGGGTAACAAAGTAAGAAACTCAATAGTCCAGATCACAAAATTAAATGAATTGACCAAGAACTACCCTGTTTTCCAAAAGAACTCAAATAATTTTTAAGATTCATCTGGCATGAACAATTTTTAAGATCAATCTGGCTAGAACACAAAAAGAAATACTAGTATATACATATTGAGTGTAAAGACAAAAAAGAAAAAGAGAAGAGTGTAAATGATGGGGCTAATTTGCATTGGTATATTCCAAATGCAAACACCATACACGAACAACTAGAATTGTAACAATTATAACATTATATATATGGACAATAATCAGCACGCTATTTAACTTCTTGTCTAGGAGCTATTAGGTCATTCATTTTAGATACATAATATATTTCAGATGGGAGCAGGTTTGCAGGCCTTTTCAATTGGGCGGGCTTGGGATTAGGAGATTGGCCCCCTTTAACAGTGCTCTCCTCTGTAAGTGGCTTTGGAGATTTGGTAGTGAAAGGCATAGATTATGGAGAAGGGTTATTTCCTGTCGCTTTGGGGAGGAGAGAGGTGGGTGGTCAGCTAGGCCAGTCAGGTCTGCTAGTGGAGTAGGGGTGTGGAGGGCCATTGGAAAAGGATGGGATGAGTTTTCCAAACATGTTAGATTCAAAGTTCGGGATGGAAGGTTTGTCCGGTTTTGGGAGGATCCCTGGTGCGCGGATAGGCCTCTGGCTCTTTTGTTTCCAAGGTTGTTCAGGATTGTTGTTGACAAACATGCTATGGTTGCTAACTGCTATCGCCTTGATAGCGGGAGGTTATCTTGGGATGTGCGATTCTGGCGATCTTTTCAGGATTGGGAGTTGGATGATGTCACTGGCTTGTTGGCTCTCTTGTACAGACAGGAGGTGGAGGGCACTGGTGTTGACTCCCTGTTTTGGGTGCCCTCTTCTCAGGGAATGTTCCAAGTCCGGTCTTTTTTTGTGTGCCTTTCTGGTTTTCATGGCGCTTCCTTCCCGTGGAAGACGGTGTGGTTGTCCAAGGTGCCCCTTAGGGTGGCCTTTTTCGTGTGAACTGCAGCTTGGAGCAAGATTTTGACTTTGGATAACTTGAGGAAGCGAAGACATATTATTGTTAATCGGTGTTGTCTTTGTAAGTTGAATGGGGAGTCAATGGATCACCTGTTGCTGCATTGTCCTGTAGCTCATGATTGTTGGAGTCTCATTTTTGATTTGTTTGGTATTCATTGGGTTATGCCTCGGATATCCCGGGAATTGCTGGATATTTGGAGGGGCCAATGGGTGAGGGCTCAGGCGAGAGTCTTCTGGAGGGTAACCCCCTTTTGTGTTTGGTGAAGCATTTGGAAAGAGCGGAATAGAAGATCTTTTGATGGGAAAAAGTCCTCCATTAGGGTGTTGAAATTCTCTAGTACTCTTTTTTGTTGGGGTTGGGGGAGAGATTTTTCCTCCATTGAGGATATTGTGGACTTTTTGGACTCCTTGAGATCAGAGTTTCAGTTTTTTGTATAGCTTGGGACGCGTTCCCCTTTTGAACGCCTTCTAATACATTTTACTTATCAAAAAAAAAATATATATATATATATATATATATATATATATATATTTCAGAAATTAAACAATCTATTGATTATCCGAACTCCCAACGCTAATACTCCTGAAAGCCCGCAATTCCTTTTCTTTTCTTTTCATTTTAAAAAATAATTCATTTGTGATGTTGTGGCCAGAATTTAGTGGTGGATAGTGTTGCGACCCATTTACGACCCGATGACCCGTTAGAAAAGTTTTGACCCGTTTTTTGCTTGTGGGTCGTGGACCTTAATTAGTACTCTCTTGTAGCCCGATAAATAAGGTCGCTTAGGATTTGGAGTGTGACACAGAGAGACTAAAAATCATACAGAAAGAGAGATGGGCAGAAACTTGTAATCTCCAACGTGGACGTAGGCCTTGTTGAACCACGTATAAATCTCTGTGTTCTTTGTGTGATGTGTTTATTTTTTTGTGTTTTGTGATTGTTGCTTGGATTCGCTGCATTTGTCGTAACAATCTCATATCTTGATATTACATTGTTATTGAAGCCTTAATCTCAAATGACCAACTGGTGTATCACCAATCTCATCAAAATAGCCCAACTTTTTTTTTTTCCTAGTTGGTACTCACACACACGTCTCTTCTGAGACTTGAACCCCTGACCTCCCTTTGGGAAGTAAAAAGCTGATACCACTAAGCCACTAACCCGTTGGTAAATAGCCCAACTTGATACAGTGAGCCCTCAAAGGGCACTCATTTTGGCGACTAGGTAATAACTAATCATAAGTAAGGTAAAATCAATGGTATGTTAACAAGTATTGCCATAAATTTCATGTTAAATTCATTGAAAGATGGATAAAGAAGGGGAGAAATTTTGTATTATTTTAAAAAACTATGAGCAAAAGAAGATGAAGATCCAGGAAAACACAGAATACCTGACGATTATGCACATATTCCAGAAACGAAGGAACATCAGGATAACGGCACTTTTCACTAATTTCAACTTGAAGGGATTTCTGAAAGCAAATGATGTCCCCATCTTCAAGCTGCAGAAGGAGGAGAACAATCAGAAAATTGAATGGAATATACTAGACCAACAAGAATTGTAAACTAGAAATAGAAAAGAAAATGGTGATAGCAACCAATGGAAAAGCATTAACAAAGTGTAGTTGGTTAGAGATAATATACCTGGCTAGCACGAAAAGGTACCTTTTTATCTATGTGTTCACACATGACATTAGGCTCAAACTTTATTTCCTAAAAATGAAAGAGGATGGATAAGATATCAACAAGTATTATATCATAAAATGGGTGACCAGAGAAGGATGCCAGAAAATCAAAGTACACTAATATAAGAATACGAAGGCTGACCTCGAAGAGATCAATTTCTTCATTAGGTTCAAAGCCAGCCAGTTCATTCAGCTTTGTTAATATTTCTAATGGCTTGCCAGTACCCTTCACAAAAAGACGCCCCACATACCTGACAACACAGAAGACAAGACTGAGTAAGTAATCCCATGCAATTCCAACACAAAGAAAATAAAGAAATTGAGTACCGGAGCTCCTCTTTCAAAGGGTCATAAAGTTTGAAGAAGAGAAGAATCTCTTCTTTAGTCTTCTCAGGTGGAGGAACTGGCCGCAAATCCTGCATGGTTTTACATACAGCTCCATTTTTATATCAAAAGCACAAAGACTAACATGACTTAATTCAAACAAAATTCCATCAAAATCAAGCTAGTTCATAATATATCCAGAGAGAATAAGATGACAAATTAATAAGAGGTTACCTGCCCAAGTTCTACTTCCAAAAACAATTTTAGCTCTGCATTGTTTGCCTTATTGGATACTTCTCTCAATTGTCCCACCTACAATGTGTTAAAGTTATATTATGAGCGACACCATAGTATCACACGGTTGCAACCATATCAGCCAGCTTTAACAAAAATCACAACAGATGTGTCACTATGAATAATAGAAAGAAGAATTTGCAAAATGATGAAGGGAAAATCAAAAGAACAATTTTAAGCCAGAAGAGTCAACATCATTAACTGGAGGGAGAGGGAGAGGGAGAGAGAAGGTATGTTGTATTTCTGTCAGGTTTTTTCAAGAGGGCACATGCGACGACACAAGTACATCATTTAATATTCACTTGAAAAATAATTAAGATTATATTTGTGAGAGGGAGAGGGAGAGGGAGAGGGAGAGGGAGAGGGAGAGGGAGAGAGAAGGTATGTCGTATTTCTGTCAGGTTGTTTCAAGAGGGAATGACTTGGTGATCTCTATTGTTTGTCATAAATATAATCTTAATTATTTTTCAATCGAATATTAGATGATGTACTTGGAAAAACCAAGTACATTAGAGTGTTTTCAGCAGTGCTGTGCCATTGTGAGGGTCCATTCTTGCAATGATTAATCACTTTCAAGATATTGGAAAGATCAAGGGTAGCTTGAATGCCCCTTTTACCATGCTTATCTGAAAAAAGAGGAGCAGTGGGATTGTTGTTAATGGGTTCCAGTTGAGACTAAAGGAGGCCAATAATAGCATCATGCATTTCTACGAAAACTCGAATATGGAGACTTCGAAGTGGCGTACTAGCTTTCACAGGTTGGAGTTTACAAGAAATGAAGCGAGGTATAGGGAGCTGCTGGAAAGACCATATGTTACTGAAGAGATGATGGTACTTTGTAGAGCAATAAGGTCAAGACACCAGGTCTCGAAGGTATGGCAATGCAATTCTTTCAGCAGTGTTGTGGCATTGTGAGGGGACACTGTTGCAATGATTAACCACTTTCAAGATATCGGAAAGATCAAGGGTAGCTTAAATGCCCATTTTACCATGCTTATCTTGAAAAAGAGGAGCAGTAGTAATACACTCAAGGACGTTCCACATTATTTTGGCCTGTGGTTTGTACAGGTTTTAGAGCGACAGTTTAGGCTGTGTCTTGGGAAGGTGAGTAGGTGACAAATGTAATTGGTCAAAGCCGGTGGTTTGTATAGTTTAGGCTGTGTCTTAGGAAGGTGAGCAGGTGACAAATGTAATTACTCAAATTCTCAGAATGCTTTTGTACAGGACCATCAAATTCTTGATGCAGTTCTAGATGCAAATGAATGCTTGGGTGAATGCCCAGCTTGACTCAAAACCATAGAAGTCGATCACACACACACTACTGGGATCTTCTATGATGATTGAATCTTTTGTAGAGTTTTTGGATAAGACAAGAGTATAGTTTTCTATAAGTACCTTGTGCATAGATCGTGTGTACATGGCTGCACCATCTTTGGTCTTTCAAGTGATACTAAAATAAGTTATCTTGAGGAGCACTGACAAGAACCAATTCTATATTCAAATTGAATTATATTAAACTACTGTCCAGCAATTCATCTAATACCAGTCTATAGTAACTGACAGGTAAATATTCAGATTCACAGCTTAGATAGGTACATCAATGTGTGAATCAGGTTAGAAGCTGTTGTAGGAAACCACGGCATAAGGTGCTATCATGACACATATAGACATGTAATAACATCGATGTGTGAATCAGGTTAGAACTTAGAAGCTATTATAGGAACCACGGCATAAGACGCTATCATGACATGTATAGACATGTAATGGTGGATAATTCAACACACAAATGGATGAAAAGTTTAAAGTATTTTACAGAATGAGCTTCCTCCTGAGGCGTCAATGGTCGATTTGGACGGTATGTATGGTTTTGCCGCTTTGCCCACAACCAGAAACGTTGAAACTGCACTGGTATACCAAATTCTTTGGCAACTTCCTCCTGCAATGAACTTACTAATTAAGATCGATAGGGAAATAAATGTTTCAGTGAATTAAGTTTCGTGATAAATCTGCAACTAAAAGATAAAACATAGGCAGCAGCAGTATTTCTAACAAATACATTTTAATGATAACAACCACCATATTAATAATTATAGTAATAGTAAAAAGAAGAAGAAGAAGCTGCGGTAACTTAGGAGCTGAAGTGATGTTGTCAGCAATCTAATATAGTGGCATATTCAGACACTAAACGTAATGAAAAAGCAGCTTCATATATAATAAACATGGTAAATAAGACATGCAATGCTCATTCATTAAACAAGTTAAATGAACAATTATGAGTACAAGTATGAACAAGAACCAGAACTTGTAAGTGTAGGAAAAGAAATCTTTAAATGCAAGTGCGTAAACCAGACTCCAAATAGACCTACTATTACCTGTTTTCAATTTTAATTCTCAATAGTCAGCATAACAATAAAAATACACACACACACAGTTCTAACTGAAGATCAAGACAGCACCAAATAAAACAAAGGCAAGAAGGAGAAAACGAGAGAGACAGTCAAAAATCTTGGCATACTCTCTCCCTCCCCAGAAACACTATAGAAGGAACTCAAGGAAGGTTTTAATCTCCCTGGTATAATTCTTCAGTAATTTTCCCGGTCTCAGCCAACAGATCAGCTTTTCCATTACATCTATATATCCAAAAGAGCGAAGTGCCAAGAGAAAAAGCTATAACACAAACTTGCATCATGAGGGGGAGTACAGAGAATCTCCGAGAAACTTACTATGGTTAAACCCCAAAGCCAAACGAGTAAGAACTTCGGAATCACCTTCCACCCAATTGTTCCTATGCCTAAGAATCTTAGATTCCTTAGTTTCCTCAAGCAAACCAAGCAACTCTACTGCATTAACCCCATTCTCATGGCCCACAGTCTTAGAGAAGAAAAAAAGAGATGATTTTTCCATCATGATCCCCAAATACAGTTCCGCATCAAATTTGGCTTAGATTACCACGGCTGCAGCCATCAAAATGCTGAGAATTACGATTTCTAGCAGATAAAGCTTCCATCCAATCTCTTTGAATAAAAAACAAAAACATGCCCATAATAAACTTGTGAGTTCCGCACCTTGTGCAGTGCGGAAGTGGCGTGAAAGGTTTAATCTTAGATGAAAGACTTAGGGGGGAAGAATAGGTCTAGCGTGCTCTTTTGATTTATTTTCAGATTACTTTAATTTTACCCAATAAAAATGAAAATCCAATCACACAAAGCAATGAATAAAGTCAAGTGAGAGATGACTAGGAATAGTTTACATGGAAACCTGAAGGAAAAAACCACAGAGACTTTAGCCGTCTCTGGCGAAATCAATCCACTATCTCGAAGCAGTGTTACACAAACTCTATCTCAGTCTCAACCCACTCCACTCCCCCGAGAACTAATTGTTGAACACCTCAGTTTGAATCCTATGACTCCTTGTCGAGCTGCCGCAAATTCCAGTCTTACTCCTCAATTCTTGCAGACAGGTTGCTGGAAGAACGTGAAAGGAAAACAAAAAATCCTGCTACTTTGATCAACCAAGAGAACTGTAGGAACCTCTGTATGTCTTCAATCAGATAGAGAACATCACCCTATATCATTCTCATGTAAAGTATGTGCTCTCAAATAAAGAAAAACAATCAGAATAATCAATGGTGAGTTTTCTGTCACAAACTCTCTTAAAAAGTTCTGCCTGTGAAAAAATAACAAATCTCTCATCTCTAAAATGCTGGAGCAAAGAAGAGTTTTTATAAACAAGAGAGTCCAAGTACACGTAGAAAAAGTGTTGTCAAAATTCTATTGGACGCCTCAGCAAATTTAGCTGGTAAATTCCCTAACCAGTTAAACTCCCTAGAGCAGTTCAACCGGTTGGACTTTAAAAGATATAAAATTACTTTACAAAAAGCAAAATGTTACCACTAATTAATTTTTTACTCCTTCAATTTAATTTCATTACCACCCATACATCTGTAAATTATACCAATTTATACTAACACTTAATAAGAGGATAATAATAACTAATAGGGATGCATCATCTCCAAAACCAAAACTAAAAAACAAAATACCAAAACCCAAAAAAAAAAAAAAAAAAAAAAGGGGGACAAGCCACAATCCCGTGCTTGTACCCATTTTAATAGAAAGGGTGGAGGCTACTCAGCTCAATCGGGGAAAGTCCTCAAAGCATAAAAAACTACGTACAGACATAGATGGTGACAAGTCTGAAGTTTTAAATCTCCATTCCCCTTTATGACTACCAGATAGAAGATAAAGTTTTCATACATGAATGCAATTCACTCATTGGGCAACAATCAGAAACTATGAACAAATATAAAACTCATAGAATGACCCCTGCTGTTATTTAATTACTGTAGAAAGAACCTGTAGAAGAATAATTATTCACATGGAGTACCACATCAAAAATATATTAATTACATAAATAGAGGGAAAAGAGCAAAATAACAAGGGAGAGAGAGCAAAATGTAATGCACGCGTGGAAATGAGAGAGAAGCAAATTTGCTGGAAGAAGATGCTCCGAAGCCACAATTTCCATAAACTTAAAAGTGCTACCAATTGGAAGGGGAAACCAAAGAAGACCTTAACAGTAACCATAAAACCAAAGCACCATGCAAGATTGGAAAAGTGCTTCCAAGGTGTTGTGTGGTCGTAGAATATCACCAAGAGGAACAATAAATAAGACATATAAAAGGTCAGCTATGCTTCATGGTACTCTAGACTAAGCTGCCCAAAAGATGTACCAACAAAAATAAGAGCAGCCAACTTAGTGGCTCTGCATTTAATTAGTAGGACACGAAAAATATTGAACAAGAAGCTAATACTTTCAGGAAGCTATAGGAGGAAGCAATTGATTAAAAGATCAGATAAAGTCATCTGAAATGGTCTAACTCATGTTCAATGAATACCAAAAAGTAAATGGATAAGAAGTATAATTCCATTTTTTGTCACAAAGGGAGTGCTCCAGTTCAACCTTAAGTTGCTATAGGGATTCCACAGTTTATGTAACAATAAAGACAATCACAAATCAAAGAACAATGTAATGTTTAACTTATCCCAAAAAAAAAAAAAAAAAAAAAAAAACAATGTAATGTTTAGCAATAAAAAACTTTAAAATGCAATGTTGAAAATCACTGCATATTTTTTGGATCCTATTGTTAAATTTCAAGCAGAATTTTAAGTTTTACCTTCTGCTGAATCAACCTGGGGTGTGTTTTTTTTACCAAAGGGCCAATGGCCTAGCGGTATCAGCCTCTTATTTCCAAAGAGAGGTCAAAGGTTCAAGTCTCAGAAGAGACAAGTTAACTATGAAAAAAAGCCTGGGGTTTTCAGGAGCCAAAAAATAAAGAAATGGGAAAGAAAAGACTGACAATGAGCAAATAATTCAAATAACTAACCATCAAATTAATGCATAGTTCCAAAATCAACCCCATAAATATATAAATATTTTTTTTTTTTGATAAGTAATAATTGAAATAAAAAAGGCGTTCAAAAGGGGAACGCATCCCTTATACAAAAGTGGAACTAGGGATTAAAATCCCAAAGAAGCCAAAAAAAATAATTAAATCTTCGGAAGAAGAACAGGACTTCCTCTTCACATAACTGAAAAGAGAGCGTATGATGTGTAGTTTCAGAATCGCCATGGACGATTCTTTCCCTTCGAACATTCTACTATTCCTCTCCTTCCAAATGCACCACCAAACACAATGTTGTACAACTCTCCAACAATCGCGAACAGCGCTACTCACACGGCATCCTCTCCATATACAAATCAAATCCTTAGGATAACGAGGCATAACCCAACGCATACCAAACAGATAAAAGATAAGATTCCAACAATCCCTCGCCATAGGACAATGCATGAGAATGTGAGCAACTGACTCACCATCTTGTTTGCACAAGCAACACCAGTTAACAAGACAATTGCCCCTTTTCCTTAGATTATCAATCGTAAGAATCTTACCCCAAACAGCGGTCCAAACAAAAAATGCCACTCTAGTTGGAACCATAGAACGCCAAATAGTCTTCCATGGAAAATCAACAATATCGAAATCAGAAAGATATAAGAATAAGGAACGAACTTCAAAGCGACCATGGGAAGAGGGAATCCATGTCATATCATCACTACCTCTGCCAACTGCCTCCCGTCGATACAACAAATCCAGGAAAACACATACCTCGTCCACCTCCCAATCCTGAAAAGAGCATCTAAATTGCACGTCCCACGTAATCCCTCTGCTATCAAGTTGATAACAGTTGGCTACGTAGGCAAGTCTATCAACTGCAATACTATATAACCTGGAAAATAAACAAGATAAAGGCCAGTCTCCACACCAAAGATCCTCCCAAAAGCGTACACATCTGCCATCACGAACTTTGAATTTGATATGAGTAGAAAAAGCTTCCCATCCCTCCCTTATGAATTTCCACGCCCCAACTCCTCCCACAAGAGAAACTGGACGAGTAGACCAACCACCACTCTCTTCCCATATCGACATGAAACAAGCCTTCGCCAAGGGCAATGTCTTTCCCTTTCATACCTCCACAACCATTTACTCAGAAGAGCTTGGTTAAAGGGGACCAGTCTTCTAATACCAAGACCACCAAACTTCATTGGCTTGCAAACTTGTTCCTAATTGACAAGGTGATACTTAAATTCATCACCTCTCCCACCCCAAAGGAAATCCCTTTGAATTTTCTCAATCCTATCAACAACAGAGCAAGGAATTTGGAACATAGATAAAAAATATGTGGGAAGGCTCAATAAAGTGCTCTTTATAAGCATAACTTTCCCTCCCTCAGACAAGTATTGCTTTTTCCATCCTGCTAATCTCTTCGCATACCTATCAATCACAGGTCCCAACACCCCACCGTTCTAGAGGAAACCCTAAAGACAAGCCCAAATACGGAATTGGAAAAGAACTCACCCTACACCCAAGGACTTCCGCTA